ACTTCTTTTGTGAGTTGGGGAGTGGCAGTTAGTGAAATTCTTTGTCTGGCTGTCAAAAGTTTCACCCTTCCTGAAGAATTTGGTCAATGTTGCATCTCCCACCAAAAAAAGAAAAAAAAGAAAAGAGTGATTTATAAATAGCTTTTTATTATTTCTTGTTGTGAAAGATTCCACAATTCATATTCGTCAGGAGACATTTTTGACACACACACACACACACACACTTTGAACTTAAAATGCTAAAAAGTTTTTTTTTTTTTTTATTGCAGCCAAGCAATCAGTGATAAACAGTGTATCAAGACAGTTTCCGTAGATACACAAGAAAAGAAAGCTCCTCTTTCTAAGGCTATTAGCGTAGAATACTATAAGTCATTTTACAGAAGTTTCTCCCTCAGGAATTAGCCAAGTGAGTCCCCCCCCCAACACCGCACCCCAACAAAAAAAATGAAAAAAGACATTCATTTTTAAACATCAACATGGAGACTAAGATGAGACTTAGTTTGCAAACTAACCAGATCATGTATGTAGTAGGTTTGATCATCACTGGCTTTTGTGCCTGACTATGTGAAGGTTTACAGTTGTTAGCAACCTAGTTCTCTTTAAATGCTGTTTGATTTTTCTTCATTTGGAAGCACATATTTGAGGCCTTAAGCCATGCTTAACAAGTGTGTCCTTCACTATAGTAGAGATTAACAAACAATTACTACCATAGTGATTTTGAGCTTCACTGGATGAACCAGACTGATGTCTCTTTACCAGACTAATATATAAACAGCAGTACAAATATAATCATTCTACATTGGGCAGAGGTTTAAGTATCTTATGATTATTTTCCACTGAAAATTATTTATTTTTTGGGTTTCTTGTTTCTTTGAATTTTGATTAATTATTATAACAAACTATTTATGTTGATGCTAAACAAAGAAAAATATATGATTTAAATCTTTTAACAGCATCAAAGGTTATAAACTGTACCTTTTGTTTCATAATCTCTGGTTTACTCTCCTCCCTTGAACTGGGGTAGAGATTTATCCTTTGTTTTCTGTTTAGGATTGGGTTTCCAGTTCCTTCTAAAGTTTACTTCAATTTTATACTTCTAATGTTTCTGCCTAAACTCTGAAATTTATACTCTTATTGGGTTCCCATTTTCTTCTAAAGTCTTCTTTTCCTTCTCTTTCACTTCCAGTGGCCCCTTGCATATTAGTGGCATTATCATCTTGCTTTGTTTTGTCCTCTTAGAGGCTTTATCAAGGCAAAAGGATTTGGGGCTTAATAAAGTCCCTCAGAGGACAAAACACATTGGTTAAATAAGTTTTCCTTTTCTCTTTATTCTTATTGTCCTTCTAAAGATATACTCAATCTGAAATTTTACACACACACACACATGCATATATATATATGTCAAATGAACACTGATGGTTGCTTAAGGTCACTATGCCGTCAACATGCAGCGTTGATTTCTATATCACCATTTTATATTGACAAAATACTCTATCCCTTAAACTTTAAACACACACACACACACACACACACATATATATATATATATATAAGCCATCCATACACAGTGCATCAGTGCAGCTAGACATCTGACTGCTTCAAGCCAAGATCCAAACCCGATTGATTTGGCATTAGTCGAAGTTTCTACCCCTGAGCTATCAGCACACACCAGAGGGAAAGGGAAATTTTAGCATATTATTTTTTACGAATGTAAACAAATGCCATGTATATATATGTGTGTGTGTGTGTGTGTGTGTTATTCTTTAGTAATTCTGAAAATGCAACACTGTTACATATGAAATCTTATGTCATGACTGTGAAAGGATATAACAGCCAATTATTGACATAAACTGTATAAATAATTAAGAGTCTGTAGGCTACTAATTTATTTAATCCTGTAATCCATAGATGCAGATAACTTTCATGGTCTATTAGATCATCCGCCTTGCTATGCCAAGGAATTCCTCTTCACTGAATCACTCACAAAGCTTAGGTTAACTTGTGGTATGTTTTTCAGGCACTTTCCAAAGGTACTACATGCTGGGATCACCTCCCTCAAACGGATAACATCCAGAAGTCTCCTTCCTGACAAATCAACCATGGTGAGATCCAAACCTGGGTCTCATGGCCAGAAAGCAAACGTTCAATCATATAAGTATATATAATAATAGACACACACACACACACACACACACACACACACACACACACACACACACACACATCATACACATACAAACACACATATGTCTGTGTGATTCATGTTAGGAAAAACCATCAGGAACCTTTCAACTAAGAAGAGTTGATCTGTGGTGACACCAATATATACTGGGTTCACTCTAAGAGATGTTAAAGTAAGTTTTGTAATCAGTGTCACCACATAATGTCAAAAGACTGAAATGCCTTCAGAAAGGAAAACAAAATCACCTCAAAGACACCAAGTACAGAATCACGCCATGAAGGATGGCTGTAGGCACATTAACATAGACAAGGAAATGAATCCAGCTGAACTTAGGATATACCCACACACACAAGAGAACCAGATGACAGGAAGTTATATAAACACCAGACCCATACAAGGGAAGAGAGAATCCCTGAAGAAGACTGAACATTTAAAGGAAACCTTGAAAACCACATATGGTCAATTTTAATTTGATGAAGACCAGAAGTGAATAAGCAATTATTTTAAGTTTGAAAAATTGTAATTTATTCTAATCGGATATTTACTGACATACCATATTTACTTAAAAAGAAAATGCATATATATAGTGTGTACATTATGTTTTTTTCTGAAAAAACAAAAATGAAACCTACAAGTGCTACTAAATGTGTCAGTAATAAATTGATTGTCAAACCCATCAATCACTTTATTACTGTGTAACTTTGAGTAATGTGTATGCTTGGCATGTTTTTTTATTTAATTTTTTGTAATATGATCCAGAAAAGCATAATATACACATTGTATGTGGCTCTATCTATAGGATACTGATCCCTGTATTAAAAAAATCAGTTAGCCTGCATTTGGATGAATTGTATTTCAGCTGAATGATTAACAGTGCACAGACAACCATATGCATGTATAACTAATATATATATATATATATATATATATAGTGCAAAGATGTATAACAAAGTGTAATAAGTTTTGTGTGATGTGTTTCATCCTTTAGGATTTCATCAGACTAGTTTTGTTTAAATTGATGAGACTATGCAGTAAGCAAAGTAAGTCCAATGAAGTCCTAAGGGATCAAATGTATCACATAAGACCTCTTTCAATTTTGACATACATCTTACCTCCAATACTGTTCTGGATATATAAAAATTTATATATCGTTATCCCATATATATATATCCCATGTATATATATATCTATCTATATCTCTCCACACACACACACACACACACACACACACACACACACACACACACACACACACACACCATGTTTGAATGCTTAGATAATAGATGAGGGAAAAAACTGAAGAAATTTCTAGAGAAACCGAAAATAAAAGTGGTTGGGAAATAACTTGTTTAATATATTATATAAGTTTAGCATATAGATAAAAATTAATTTAAAGTGAAAGATGTTATTCATTTTATGAAACCAAGAAAATGTGAGTGTGACATTTAATAAACAGGCTAAAGGCTAGATGAAAAATAGCAAAAGATTTTTTTTTTAATTTTCTTTTTTTTCTCATAATCAGTAAATGGGTAAAATTGTCGCCATTTTATATTTTAAATTTTGTGCATGTGCATTATTTGTTTTTGATTTTGTCAGCTACACAGTATAGTAGGGTCAGTTGGGTACCATTCATGAGAAAAAGAGTACCATGACACAATTCACTCTGCCAGAAATTTGGAAATTTCATGCTGTACTGTTTGACATTCATATCTGGATATCAATCTGAAGACATTGCAGATAAAACATAAAGAGTTGGATGAGTCTAATGGTGATTATGAAGGTGTTTGGAATGATTACTAGTGATGGCAATGTTATACCCCAATTCATCTTCCCACAGGGCCTCAGACTTAACAGAGGCCTATATCAAGTGCCTTGAGGAGGTAATATTGCTCTGGGTCAAGAGGATGGCTGCTGGAAAACCCAAACATGAGAATCCAGTCATGGTTGTCAGACAATTTCTGTGGCCATATCACCCCTCTAGCTACCTCACTCCCCAGACTGCAACCCCCCCTCCTTGAATATTATGTGTGGGGCAGAGTTTTTTTTAAGAGACCAACAAAACTCAACCAAAGATGAATTGAAGGCAAGGATTATGGCAGCATTCACCAACTTAAACAAGGAGACAGTCCAGAAGAGCTGCAGGAGACTCCAAACTTGTCTGGAAGCTGTGGTTGAAGACAATGGCGATTTTATTGAATAAATTTACTATTTAGTATTTCAAGATATTTTTGTGTAATTTTGGAAAATATATCTAAAATGAGATGTCAGTGTTATTTTCACTTTTGTGTAATTTAGACGACAATACTTTATTCATCACACTCTGTAATTCTATTTCTCAACATGACAATGTGTAAATTAAACTTTTTTTTTTTAATAATAATAAAGACTGTAGGCATTCATACCAACTGTAATAATACACGTTTTCACAGTTCACTTCGCAACAGTGACCTTTTGTTGCACTGACATTAGTCCTAGAAAAGACACAACACAATTTATTGTTCTCTGGCTCAAATCATCCTTAGATTTCAAATTATCTAAACATTTCCAGTTGTATGAAAATGCAGGGAAGAAACGTACTAAGCCTGTTAATGTCCTTTCTTGGACGTAGACTATTCCCCAGATTCATGGGGGAGGAAAAGACCATTTCTCTACTGCACTAGCCCAATGCATGTTGGTAGGGGCAGATGTGACATGCTTGGGCGATCATGGCTCTTTTCAATCCATGATTGCCCAAAGGTATTTGCTGACTGAAATTTGAACTCATCCCTCTTATTTCTCATTCTGAGCCTTTATCAATTACACCACCTGCACATCCAAGCTTACAGCACCTGGTATTCCCAAGTGGTCACCCATCCAGGTACTGACTAGGCTTGACATTGCTTAACTTCAGTTGTTGGATGACAAGGTCTGGCCATAAACCCAGGGAAGAAAGATCTGTGTGGATTCTGAAGCAATACATTCTCTGACCAAATCTACATCAGCATCTAATGGTGTGTACTTAGTTGGTCAAATTGTTCTGAGATGTGAACATTGCAAAGATGACATTAACCATATGGATGTCATTTTATTGCATATGTGTGCCATGTCACATTGCTGAATGTACTACACAACATTCCAAACCGAGAAGATAACAACAAGAAATTAATCCATTATCTTTCCAAAGAAGTCAGGGTAATTAGATAGAGTGAGAGAGAAAGAGTGAGAGAGTGTTATTCATGATTACCTATTCCATCAAATGATATGGCACTATAAAAATAAATTTCTGAATAAACTTCATATACTAAATGTATCAACTATTATTGTATATAGACAGTATTATTAAGAAAACCAACAACATGAAGAAAGTAACTTTTCATTCATTAAATCAAAAACTATTAATAATGCCTTGAAAAATGCACAAATCCAATTCTTCTTCCCCAGTAGACTGGGATCTATGGTCATTGAGTTGCAATCAGTCTAAGAGAAGAAAAATTGAATTCCAAACTGTGAAGAAGGTGAAAGTAACAACAACTCGATTATCTTTCCCAAGAAGTCATGGTAATTTACAGATAATAAAGTAAAAGACTCTGTGGATCACTTATGCACTGAAGGGATATGGCATTAAAAAAGAGAAAACAATTTTGTTTTAATATGATATGAAATGAAGGAACAAAGTGATAAACTTTTTAAAAAATCTTACATTTTGCTTTGACTCAGTTAAAATATTTAATCAAATAAAAAAATTATTAAAGTGACAGATGTTTTGTGTAAATGCAATAAGAATTCACAGAATATGTTAAATTAAGCTTTTATTCTTTTAAATGAATTTAATGCAACAATACTAATTAAAAAAATCTTCTGTATTACTACAAGGTAGCAGCGGCAGCCACTAACACAGACACAACAGTCTTGCTTTAACATCTGTTTCTTTTAGCTTGATAGATAAAAAAAATAAACAAAACACTGGCAAAAAATATTGCAACGTCACATTCTCTGTTGGGTCAAGCAAAAGTTTTCTTCTTTTGAAAGCCTCAAAATATTCTAGAATAAATTTCTTACTCATTTGAAATACACTGTTGCATAACTGCTACTGTATATGCATACACATATACATGCTAATACCCTCAAATGCACATCTTGATGTGTTCTGTCCAATTGCCAGAAATATTAAGAAAAATGCCTAGCCACTAGTATGATAGGTCATTGTTAGAGAAAAGAGTGCACTTAAGGAAATCATTCACCCACAACTACCTTCCCATACAGAAACTTCGCCTGTTCTTAAATTTGACAATTATTGTGCATGTACCCATAAATTCTATCATTTTCTGTGCACACCCTCCTCTGCTAAGGTGGCTAGCCAATCCTTGTTGCAGATGCCGGCTCAAGCACATTTGTGTGGTTATACTGCATAATGATGGACTTGATTTACAATTTCTGGGAGAGAGAACATAATTTGTCATAATCAGCAGTTTGAACAATGCCAGTATGCTCAAAACCTGGGTCACAATGACTTGTGATTTTGTATATAAAATATAATATGCAAACAGAACTTTTTCATAGTTGTAAAAATATTGATTAAAATATAATTAAAACCCTGAATAAATGACAAAACATCAATGCATTTACAAAAAAATAAATAAAGCAAAAACTAAAAAATTAATATGAAAAATTAAATGCCAAAAATTTAGACATTTTCCACTGTGGTCATCAGTGAATGTGAATACCTATTTTTCTCATGACCATATTATTACTTGTTACTGAACATATAGAAAAGAAAAGACTCAATGATGACTGAATTCCAAGAAGATGAAGGAAATATCTTCAGTAAGTGTCTCAAAATGTTCTCCTGAATATTAAGTCTTCTGATAGAATAAATATCATCAGCTACACACACACACACACACACACACATATATATGACAGCATTCCTTATTTTACACGAGTTTTGTTTTACAGGGTGTGGCAGGAATACCTCCTACAATATGGTAAGACATTAATGGATATGGTGTCTTCATTTAGCTAATGTCTAACCATTATGTAGGAGGTATTTCTGGGATTATATGCAGTATTTCTGTGCACCCTGTATATGACAGATAAGTTTTCATTTAATTTTTCATTGAAGTTACAGTTTTTTTTGTTTTTTTTCAACAGTATGGACAATTTCAATTTCTCTACAAACTCAGTCCTCATAAAAGAAAAATCATAAGAACATACAAAAATTTTAATAAAAAAAAATTGCAAAATAATCCTTGTCTGTCATATTTAATATAACGTGTATATATATATTCAAAATGAAAGATGAAGTTGGAGAAACAGACCAGTAAACACTAAAGTTAAGAGTGTAAATGACTCATATTTTATCTACAGCTGAGATTGGCTTGAAAGAGTTAAAACAAAGGCCAAGAAAAGCAGTATGTATGCTTGTGAATGACAGGTTTGCAATTTTTTCAGGACCAACCACTTCAAGTCTCTTTCCTAAATCTGTATAAAATAAAAGATAAAACAGATAAAACAGCATTTCCATTTTTGACCAATATACAATCTAAAGAGTGTCCATTTTTCTTATGAAATGAAATGAAAATATGTTTATAATAGAAAAAAGAAAACAAAAAACAAACTAAAAATTAAATACAATATGGCAGATCAGAGTGGGTAATGCTTCAAACAAACCCCCATAAAAATAAAATCGACAAAAAATACTTCAGCATTCCACTAGGCATACAAGTAAGTTATATTTCAAAAATGTTTTCTTTTTGCAGTTTTTCTTCGTTAGTTTCTTTCTTGTGAGAAAATAGGCCTGTATTGGTTCCAAAGCTAGGAAGCCAAAATCCAAAATTAATCTTCGATGAAGGGAGATAAATATAGCCTAGTGCTCTCCCCTGTTTGGCACAAGTCATTTAAAGACTGACTCGCTTAATTGAACGCTGCACAGAAATTCTGTTTCCGATGCTTTCTCTGTTAAAAACGAAGAACATTTTCGAGCAAATACAGAACCAATCAAAGAAAGAGAAAAACAAAAACAAATGCCATTGTTACAGTAAACAGTATTATAGTTTTGTTTTGATTGAATCGAGGACAAAGAAAATAATAGAAAGAAAGTAAATTGAGGAATGTGGCCAGTAAGATGGAAGTGAAGAGGAATTGTGTTTAGAATCGAGGACAATAAACTACAGCCAAGTTGAATTAGAAGGGTCTGGATGAACAATATATATATATATATATATATATATATATGTAGATATAGATATATATATATAGATAGATAGAATTTCTAAATACTTTTTTCCTCCATTAACTTCTAATGATATTCCAAGAATAACAAATCACACATTCTTGCATACATGGGTTAAAGTATCCAGCTTATATACACTTAGGAAGCATGCAAATTTCTTATTTTCAAACAAGAAAGACATGTAGTAAAAAATATCAGCTATGTGTATGAATAACTGTATACAGAATATATATATATATATATATATATATATATATATATATATTAGTGTGTGTTTGAATACATACATACATGTCCTCATGTGTGTTTATGTAGTTGCATGCATATATCTGTATATGTAACATATACATACATAGACACACACACACATATATATAAGAATACACAAATACTATTTTCATTTTTCATTATAGATCAACTGATTTTTATGTGCTTGTATTTTTTTTTATATTATTGGAGGTGGAGCTTTTTGATGAATATATTTTATTCTCTGATTTTATTTCTTGTTCTTAACATGATTTATTTTATCGTTTAAACTGTTAATTAAAATTCCTCTAGAAAATATTTAAGTCTATAGAAAGAGAAGAAAAAGGCCAGCCCCAAATGTTAAAAAGAAAACTGATAAGAAAAAGCTACATTATAAAAATGAGGCAGAGAAAAAATACTCCATTTTTTTGTTTTGTTTTTAAATAAAATAAAACCATATAACCCACAAATTTCAAAATGTTTTAAACATTTCTAAAATTAAAATTATGATAAATTGGAAGGAGTTCGTCACAGATTATTCTGCTAAAAGTGTTTAAAAAAGTCTTTTTAATTACAAGATTAAATTTAGTAATTAAAATACAAAATTTTGGGTAGTTTATTTTTAATACTTTCCTTCACTTTTCAAAATCAGAAAATAATTTTACCCCCTCCCCACACAAAACCTTTTTAAGGATTTACAGAAAACCCAATTAAAAATAATATTTGTTTCATCTTTCCATAAAATGTCAGGTAGCTCACATTTTTTTTTGTTACTTTCTCTAGTATAGTGAACATGATTATCCCATGTTTCAAGAAATGCAAGTTAGTTGAAGCTTTTTCAGTACTATTCATTATTTATGGCAATGATAGAAATTATGGGATTCTAGCCAGAAAAACTTATTGAAAATGGCTACCAAATTGTAATATGGCTTTATGGTAAACATGTTCAACATGTCACTGGTGTTCTGAAGACTTCTATGATATTCATGTTTCTTATTTAACTCCATAAAGATTTCATGAAAGATGAAAACTATGTGAAAAATTTTAACTGAATTATAGAAATAAATAAAGCAAAAATAAAAAAAAAATATCTCCAGGATGTTCTTTTCTATAAAAATGTTAATTATTGTGGCAAACTTTTTACATTGTAATGCTTAAAAAATCAAAGAATTATTCCCTGACAACTGAATATCTTGATCTATGCATTGATTAAATTGTAAGATATGAATGAATGAATGAAGCTAATGGCACTGTGATTTCTACCTATAGCAAAGCTATATCTATTCTGGTCAAACCTATTCTATATGTGAATAGTACTATTTCATGACACAGCTATGCCAGCTTATAGGTTAAAATCCACCACATTTAGCAGCTTGGGTCAAGGTAGATTCTCCAAGTTATAAATCAGTTATGTGTATGCATTGTGAAATTATCCTTTTATATTTATTTCTTTATATTAATGAATGAATCCAACATAAATTAGTAACAATGTTCATAATTAAATATAACAGATAATGGTAGGACAGATATATGACTTTCTATCTAAAACCTGAAGTCATGCCACAGTTCATCAGTTGAATGGACAGAAATTGTGCAATTTTTACTGGTAATTAATTCTGAATGATACTAATAAATAAAATAATATTTAAATGGTTAATTAAAATCATTTTTAATTTTGATTAATTGTCAATCGAAATGCAGTAAACCAAACACGTTTTTCTTTTCCCATTGCAAATTAATACATTTGCTTATTTAGTGGCGCTTTTGGTTTGATCATTAAACAAATTTAATCCAGTAAATAAAAAAAAGTATTAAAAGAAAAAATTAAAAAAAAGAACAAGCAATGAATTCATTTTGACCAGAGTAATGAATACTATATATATATATATATATATATATATATATATATATATATATATATACACACACAAATTGATAAATACTTGTAGAATGTTGGTAAAAAAAAGGAAAGGTTAATCAAAATACAGAGATAAATATCGCTTATATTTTCACACTTTATCTAAGTCTATGTGAGGCCCACACTCAAATGTGCAATGCTGTGCGTGCGAAAAACAAAACTGAACAGCTTTTATTTTTGTGCTGTTGAAGCAGTTACTAGCTAAGGGAAATAACTCTGAACTTGCTAATTAAATTGTCTATCCTTCGGTCACTAAGCTGCAGAGTTATCTACCATGATTAAGTGTAACGAACTACGATAGAAGACTATTATTTTACTGGCTGACTTGGCCTGACGAGAGGCTGATTTATCCAGATTAAGAAACAAAGAAAAAAACTGTTATAAATGTTTGTTATTTTGTTGTGGAGAATAAAGAATGTTATAATGACTATCTCTTTTTTTAAGGTAAGAAAAAAAACAGTAGTTTTGATAATTTAAAAACCTACCTGTTAAAATGATTAACAAAAAATGGTTTGCTAATTTCTATAAAGAAAACAAAATTGATAGATCTCACAATTAAAAGAGAAGAGTGAGGAAATAATTATTTCCGTTTACATTAGACAGGAGCAGGTCACAAAATTTTTGCACTCCTAACTGTTTTTGTTTTTGTTTTGTTTTAAAACAGGACAAGCAAATGGGGCCCAATGTGTCCAAGAATAATTACTGCTAAAAAGCTAATATGATTAATAGTCATGATGGAAAGATAATTACCTTTTCTGATTCAGAAAAAAAAATTAGGATCAAGTGTAAACTTAGCCATGAGCAGTTTGGATTGTTCATAAGAGATATGGGACAAAAACTTGTTTTGAAAAATAAATAATAATATAATGAAGGTGACAGTCATGTCAGTCGTTGTCAGAGTACTGGGAATGGTCCTGAAGAGCCTAGGAAAAAGGCTTGAACTGAAAATCGGGAAAGAGTTGGGACCAATATAACAGTATTACTGAAAACAGCTACAATACTAAGTATAGTGCTGGACTATTAAGGAAACTGGCTATCACTTCAGTTCAGTGAAAGTTATCGGTTATTGGTGACATGAAAAAGTTCAATGAGTGAAGAATACACCTCCTCCTACTAATACTACTAATACTACTAATAATAATACTACTAATAATAATAAAATGGTAAAAATTACAAGAAGTTTTTTTTTTAATTTCTCTAAGTTGGTTGGATGCATAAATAGTTTGATGGTTAGTGGCTCAGAGAGAAAAATTGGCAAGTTGAGTTTGAAGTGTGTCCAAGTTTGTCACATTCACTTTCACACAAATATCTTAGGGAAAGGTATGAATCCATCTTTTCTCCTTCCAGCTATGGGTTAAATAGTACTGCCGACTAGGCTCTCTTGCCTTGAGGTTCCAACCAGTTTAAGAGAAGGAAAAACCGAATTCAAAACCAGCCTGGAGAAGGATGGGCTCCGTCAGGTTATTTTGCCCTAGACACACCATTCCTGCATTATCTGCAGTACATGTGGTGCCCCTATGATGCTGATAGGTTAGGGGACTCATGACCTGATGATGTAGCAGTCTGACAGCATTTTCCAGTGTTTTTCAAACAGCGAAATACTGACTAGAAAATGTGAAAAGTTGATTGATAAATATAAGGAATTTGGTTAACCTTACTGATTATAATTTTGAATTCCTGATTTTGACATTTTGGCAAAACATATCTGTAAAAGAGTTTGGCCAGGTTAAATGTTGTTTTTATTTTTTTTAGTGGTTAATTCACCACTTAATGGATTTTACATGGCTTCTATTACACTTGATCCTCCCCAAGAAAGAAATTTGTTGGCTATGAAAAAAACTGTAAATTCTTTATTGCTCATCCATAACACAGACCCAAAGGGACTGAAATTTTTATTTTTATTTTTAAGTATGTGACTGGAGAGGGGGAAGGGAAAAATTGTATAACAATCTTTAAGAAAACAAAAACAAATATTTTCTGTTTCTATAGAACTAGAGACATTACATTCAAAAGAAATATTTCTCTTTTTTCTTCTTTTTTAAATAAAAAGAAAAGATATATGTATGCAAAAAAGAAAAAGGTTTAAAAAAACAAAAAAAAAAAACATTTTTTTTTTCTCCATCAACTCTAAAAGAAAACACACCAGAACAAGATTTTTGTATAAAAAAAGTTTTTTTTTTTTTTTTTGAAGGGAAGAAGAGACAAGAAAAGAAAACAAAAAAAACGTCTTAAGATATATGAAAAAATAGAAAGAAAAAAAAACTGTTCAAAACAAAATGGAAGTATCATTGGAAAAAAAATGCAATAAAATACAAAAAAGAAAACAAAAATGGAAACGAAAAAGCATTAAAATCAGCTAAAATCCGTTCACCTGTTCTAATTAGGCTCAGGTGATAATTGTTCACCTGTTGTACCTCCGTTTACTGATCAGGTGAACAGTATTTGTCTTTCTACATTTGTCGGTGGCTCATTTCTCTGGGGAGCCCCGTTCGCTGGGAGGCTCGACAACAATGTCGGGAGCCGTCATCAAATGTTCTTTCTCTTCTGTATCGTCGATGTAAAATTTAACGGGTAAATTACGTCGTTTAGGTGACTTGACTGCATCACTGTTGCCAGAATCCTCAGTTCCGGGGCTACCAGGAATCGGAGGTAGGCCAGAATCATCGGATGTAGCCTTTGTCGGACTTGTTTTCTTACTGTGTTTTTTGGCCTTCCTGCAAGTAACAACAATAATAACAATGCTGTGTGGAAATAGAAGAGATAGTCAATCGTATAAGTGAATATAGCAAATTAGAAAGAGTTCAAGAAGAGGCATGACCAGGTGGGGACCCACTTTTGACTTTAGAGACCAGAATCTACCTGAGAGAAGAAAACATAAAATTCTTTTGAACTTTTAAATTCAAATAAATAATCCAGTTTGGGCTTGAAAAAGAAAACAGATTTGGTAGTTATAAACAAGAAATTTATTAAACACTGAATTTTGCCATTCCTGCAGATCAAAGTAGATCTGAAAATGAAAAGATGGATAAATATTTGAATCCTGCCAGAGGGCTGAGAAAGTTCTGCCTCATGAAAATGCCAGTTGATACTGGAGTACTGGGAACTTTACTGAAAAGGCTGATGGAATGAGAAAGTCAAGACCATCCAAATGACAGTATTACTGAAAGCAGCTTAGCTACTGTTGTAGCCTAGAAAAGGTTACTGAATAAGAATAACCAAAATGAAGGTTGGAAATAGAACGGTAATCTTTATAACATTAACAACATACAAGATTCACCAGCAGCATGTAATAAGTAATCCACTGCTAGTGGTGAACCCCTCTAGACAGTATATTCCACTGTATTTATGAGGATTTGGACATACACATTATAGTCCATAGGTACAATATAACAGCTACTAAGAAGAGTGTTGGTGTATTACAGGAGACTTGCATCCACAAAAGGGATGGGCTCTGTATTCAGTGGAATTGAAATAACTCCTTTGAGAAAATCAGACATTGAATTTAGAAAAGTACTGTTCCTCAATTGAACCAATTAAAGGCAGCAATTGACCAAAAGTATCCAGAATTGTTCAATCAGAAAGGTGTCATCTTCCATCCGAAAGATGCCACACCACATCTATTTGATAGAAATTGGTTGGTATAGCTAGACTGGGAGGTCTTACATCTGTCATGCACATCTGGTTTTACACCTTCAGATTACTACTTATTTCAAGTTGTACTGTAAGAAGAATTTGAGTTCTGTTGAAGCCTGTAAAAATCAGTTCATCATCTAGAAATTTTCCACGCTGCCTAATTATCTATATCTATCTAGATATTTTAGGCCGATAAAAGACATTTGAGGGATAAAGGCAAAAATAATAATATTGACAATAAAACTAATGATATTTATTGTATATTAGTAGGAACTACTGTCCAGTTTTTGATGCTTTGGTAAAAAATTCAATTAATAAAAAGTGCAAAATTCTTTTCTTTTTTTTTTCTAGTGCTGTGTGCTCTCCACAATTTCTTGTCCTTTTCTATCCTTTGTAGCTCTTAATAAACTTTGTACCTTTAAACCTTGTTCCACCATCCATTTATTCAAGCTTACTATGTAGGTTATGTGTTGTCATCTTCTGTCCCACTTCAGTTTGTCCTGTGACTATCAGATTTAGTGTTTAAAAAAAAAAGTGTAAAATTTAGTGCAATTAGTAATGGCAATATTTAAAATAAATGGTAGTGGGGATAAGATTTTCTTCAATTATTCCACTGAATGCTCTAAACTCCTGGCATTTTAATTGCTTATTCAATGTAATAGTGCAGAAGGTATCTGTTCAGGATAAATGAAAGCAGTCTCTTTAAAATCTTGTGTAATGAATTAGATTTAGCTAAAATATGAGGGGTACTTAAAAGTTCTCAGCCTATCTCACTTCCCAAAATCTGACCAAACATCAGATTTTTGGAGGAGTGTGTGGGGGGGGGGGAGAGGAGGAGGTGGGATTTTGGTAAGACTGAGAACTTTTTAGCACCTTCTTGTTATGCCTATATATTGAAATTTGATTATTGTAGCAATTTCATAGAATTTAGAAGAAAAAAATTTAGAAAAAACTCCAAAACACTAAATTATTAAAATTATCAGTTTGAACAAACCGTAAATAAAGGAACAAGTTAATTAACATTCTTTGTAGGTGTAGCAAAAATATAATCAGTTATTAATAAGAATAAGAAAGTTATGACCATGTGAATGTTATAGGTTGCTGATTTGAGTTTTAATAATTTATTTGATACTTAAACTGAGTTTTTTTTTTTTTGTTAGAATCAAACAAAAATCAAAATTTAGAATCAGATTTTGATCTTTCACTTTTGGTTCATGATTTTGATCTTTTTTTATTCTTAAACAAAAAAATTTGAAGGAACTTTAGGATGTTGATACAAGAATAAAACTGAAATAATGATTGAATAAAGATTGAAGTGTAGAATAAACTGCCATCTATGAGAATGCAAATGATGTAAAATTTACATTCTTAAAAAAAATTAAAAATTTTTTTTACCCGTCTCATATTGCAATTAATTTTGAATTAAAATTACTTGTTGTCATCAAAAATTGGAGACATATTTTCATTATAAAAGCAAAACAATAAATTATCATTTTCATTTTTTTTGTATGTTAAATTTTCTTAAGGTTAACTTAATCCTTGTTGGTTGTTCTGTTGAGAAAATGGCAAAGAACTATATCCTCAGCTTTGTTGTTAATATCACAATGTTTTAGCTGTTTTCGTTTCCAGCCTTCTTCTTCAGGTGTCTGTTGACCTTCAGGGAATTTCAATATGAACTCTTTACTCCTCTGAATGCTATCTGGATTGACAGACATCTGAAGAAAGCCAGTCGGCACAATGACTGAAATGTTGTGATAACAACAAATATGAGGGCCTCACCTTGAATGTAAATAATGATAAGTCCTCACAAACATTCATACAGAAAATATCTGTTACAGCTCAAATTCATCAGTTTGGTTTATTTTCTACAATCTTGAAACTACCGCTGAAGGTGTTGAAAGAAAATAAGTACTCAACATATGAGACCAGGTTAAAAAAAAGTGTAAAAGAAAGAAAATGTCATGCACCATTGACTGTAGAAATACCGATCACACTTCAAATTCACAAAGAAAAAGAAAACACACTTACTTCTTGCCATTTTCAGTACGGTCACTTTTGTGTGTTTTTTCAGAGTGGTCACCTTGAGGAATGCTTGACTGATCTGTGGCCACAATGGTCTTCCAGATGGCAGTCTTGGTCATCTCTTCTGTTATGTTCACAGAATCCAGTTCTGAGCTGATGGTCATCCCTTCCAAGGGCATACCTATCACATTACTACTTAGGTTCGGGTCCACTCCCTCCATCAGTTTCATCTCTTCCTAAAGGGAACAATAACAAACAATAGTATTAAACATTAAAAAAAAAACTTTTTCTTTTTTTCTATAATAAAACATTACAAATACAAAATAATAATAATACCGATAATACATGTATTCTATATGTACGTATTTCAGCCACTGTATCTACTGGTCTCTCTTTCTATCAAACTTTCTATGACAAAATGCTGTTCTATCTGTTCATTGTCAGCAGCAGCCATTGTTAATACACAGCCAAAGAAAGGCCTTTTAGTAGAACAAACTAGAAGATGTCTCTAGACATGGGCAGTGGAATAAGAACAATTTAACCCCTGTAGATTAAATAAAGGGTTTCGTTAAAAATTCCCCTGTAGATTACCTGTTATCAACATACACTTGATGAATATGACTTGTTACATTTCTGTTCATTTTTAGAAATAGCCATTTTCAGCCATATTGCCTTTCTTGTAATTCATCCAGTGCTTCTGATATTAGTAAAATGTCATCAGTAAATCATAAATATTCTTCCTTGATTCTTATTTACATCCTTTCCCAACTCATTTTTCCAAAGATACATTCAAGCGCTGCTGTAAATCATTCAGGTTAAATCATATCTCTTTGTCATGTACATTTTCCAATCTTTATTTTATTTCTTTTCTATAAATACTTTCATGGAATGTTTTTTTAAAAAAATTTTTAATCATTTTACCAGGTAGAAATCCCACTAGTATTCAGGGGGTTACAGAGAGTGAAAGTGAAAGAAAAGACTTTGTATAGGAGGGGGGGATTGAGGAAAGGACAAAAGGTGTAAGGGATTCAAGAAGACAGAAGAAGGCAATTGACATTGCATTTAAATTTTTGAAGATTGCAGTTATCAAGGAAGCAAGTAAAGGGAAGGGAGTGCAAGAAAAAAAACTGTTGGAGTAGAAGTGGCAGTTGCATTTAACTCATTCAACAGTAAAAGGGTGGGACCTAGTTGCCAATCTAGTAGTATGATTAAATTCATGAAGTTAGGGAACTAGGGAAAAAAGTTCATCAGAGTAGTTACCATGAAAATATTTGTAGATAAGACAGAGGGAAGTCACATCACATCAGTGAGAAAGTAACTGAAGTAAAGATACCAAGTGAGACAACTTATTAAATGAAAGATCTAGGATAATGGCAGCTTGAAAACATGCAAAGAAGTATTTATTAGAGAAATTTGAACCTGGATGAGAGTACCAAAGTCGTATTATTTTTTTTTCTTGCAACTTGTGTTTCTGTGTGTATAAATAATGTCTAGTAAAGAAATTAACTTTTCACTGCCTGAAAAAAAAAATCATTTATTGGTGGAAACTGCGGCAGCTGAAAGGGTTGACATGTATATTATTTTATATATATATAAGTAGGCATCCATGATGGTAGCACCCTTTTTAGTCAAACATTCAGTCCTTTTGTGAATAACTTTTGGAGTGGCTTAACAAACCAATATTTGTATGACACTCTCTTCTACAGGTGTGGAAGATGAAGAAGTGTGGAATGGTCTGTCTCATTGCTCTCATTCATTCCTTCATTCTCTTCTTATCTCCAAACAGTTTCACCTTTTCCTGGCCTTTGTGATTCCTCCATGAACAACTTGGTGCCAGTCAATGCCTGTGTGTTTCAGGTCCCTCTTGCAAATGTCCTTGAAATGTAGTGTGGGCCAATTATCAGACAGTATACTATGACCAGCTCACCATATATGATGTCTTTTGATGTACAGTGATCATTCATTCAGTGTATGTGATCCAGCGATCAAAGATGATGTTGACATAGGAGAAAATGCTTTCTCCAAAACAATGGTTTTGGTGACTTTGTCTTTCCATGTGATTCAAAAATATGTCATAAGCAATGGAAGTTTTCTAGGCATTTTCCCTGCCTGGTATGTATGTTAACTAATGTTTTGCTGCCCTAAAGCAGAGTACTAAGGACATAGGCCTGGAATACCTTAAGTTTGATGCACAGTCCATGTACATGTTCTGGTTGTTGACATTGAACAAAGCTTGTTGGATGCTATCTGACAGATGGAGCCAGTAGTTAATTGTACAGTGATGTGCAGTTTGCTGGGCCTTGCAATGAGTAACTTTCAAAGCCTGTAGAGTTTGCTGATGAGGTTCATGCTTGAATCTAATCAGTCCACTGCGTTTAGTGTTGATGACCAGCTCTAATGTGGAGATGTTAGCCTAAAACTAGTCTTTGTTCTTGTGCATATTCTTTCTGTAGTTTGAGATTGTAGCATTTTAGACGGTGTTCCAAGGGGAGTCCCATCTGTCTTCCATACACTGTTATCAGTCACTGAGAAGGGTTTCCATAATCCTCTCTAAGAATATCTGTTTTTTATCCAGATAGGTAGTCTTGCAGAGTTAATTCTATATAATTAGTGATATATATATATATATATATATATATATATATATATATATATATAATTTATTACCTTCAACACTGTGTGCTATTTTATATATATATATATATATATATATATATATATATATATATATATATATATATAATTATTCATTATCCCATTGATTTTGGCATATGATGATCCAACAACCTCATTCAGTTTTTATGATTATGTGACACTTTAATCCCACTAGTGACCTGCATACATGTCAACATATTGTGCAAGTGTGATAGGCACAAATATCTCCAGTTATTTTTATTCAGAGCAACTTACTCAAAGTTAGTATGAGGCACATTGACAGATGAGAGTTTACTCTTTAGTTTGTCTTTATACCTGAGCCACGGCCATCCAACAGTCCTTTGACTAATGTCAAACTAGCTATACATGAAGACCTTAGGTATTCTGTTATTACTTATCATTGCAATATGACCAGCCCAGCTTATGACTATGCTTATGACCCAGTTATGACTACATCAGGAAAATCTCAATTCTGCCAATGTTGCATTACGCGAGATCAGCATTGGACAGCCTATCATCTAAAGCAGGGGTTGGCAACTCATTTGACCCCGTGGGCCGGATTGTGTTATAATGACGGGTTGCGGGCCGGACGAAGGCCGTTAATGAAAAAATTAAGGAAAATTACATATGCAGACCCCCTGTCAACCTAAATATTTAAACCATAATGAAAATAAACATTGAGAAATCAGAAAACAAAAGAAAATCTAAAATTAAAAACACCTAACTAAAAAAAAATTGTTTTCCTCAGGGAACGCAAAATACTTCAAAGTGAAAAAAAATCAACCAAGTGAAATGGATGAAATTATGATGTGTAGGTTTGAAACTGTTATTGAAAATTGTTCCACAAACGAACCACACACACATCAAACAAAAACAAAGCACATATACACATACATACAAGTACAAATAGTTGCAAACATATACACTTATGTACGTACACATGCGGTATCATCCACACATTCATGAGGCATGTATGTATAATGCACCTATGTTTAACTGTCTTCAGATTTCTGCTACCTTGCATGTTAGTCCCTCCCTGGCCTCTTTCACTTTATCGTTCTTTTCACTTCTGTTATCTTTTAATGTAGCCAAGGGTCATAACAAATATGTATCCATTATTTGACATTAAATGTAGGCAACGCAACATGGTAAAATAAGTCTCATGAAAGATAACTGGCAGATAGTCTAATATTTTTAGTGCACTGAGATGTGTAGACATTCTATGAAAAATGACATATAACAAATTTCATTTGAAGGTCGTCTCTCATGTTAAAAAAAGAGTCATTGGTAATCAGGCTCGCAGGCCAGTCAAAATGCATTTGCGGGTCGGATCCAGCCCACGGGTCGTAGATTGCCGACCCTTGATCTAAAGCATAGCCACAGACATCCAGCTGATTGATATGGGACCTATATGGAGTCCTTGGTACTCAGCTGTACAACAGTGTGGTCAAAATGGCTGCTCTATAAACCTGTATTTTTGTGTTCAATGTGATACTTCTCTCATTTCATAGGTGGTGGTGACAAAGTTTCCCAAATGCACTTGTAGCTTTGGTGATCTGATTTGTTATTTCATCATCAAGGGATTCATTTCTTAATTCCTAAATATGCAAATGACTTCACATACTTTAAGTTCTAATATATATATATGTATTATTGGGGTTATTGTAACTTCTTCCTTTAATGTCGTTCTTATCATTCACCCCTTAGCCATCTATATCTAGAGACGAGACGCGTTAAATTTGAGCAACATCTAGCCAAAACACTGGGGTTAAAATAGGAAACTGAAATGATACATATGACACACTCATATCTTCTCTCCCACCTCACTCCCTCATTTACGTATACTTGATGAGGTCCATAAAAAACGTGTGAATTTCTTTTCATTTTTCATTTCAGCTTTGGAAGTAACGTCTGATGATCCAGAACCCTGTTAAAGGGGTTATGGTGAAATAGCTTATTACATGGAATCTTAACGTTGTCTGTCTTTTATTCAAACATATCTGCTCTGAATTTTACATTGAGCTCTCTGGATATCATCCTCCCTCAGGTCTACCCATACGGATTACCTAAGTTTGCATAAACTATATATATATATATATATATATATATATATATATATATATATAAAAGGCAAAAAAGTAAAAACTATTCATAGTCTTTTTACAAATATATTTTTATTTATATTTGAAATTTTACACCCTCCACATATATATATGTGTGTGTGTATATATATATATATATATATATATATATGATAGGATGATAGTTAACCAAGTTGTTTATAAGCAGAATTTTTTTATTTATAATATAAGATTACTATTCCTTGAATGATATTCTTTCATTTCTTTACAGTTCTAAATTTTGCAAGCAGCTTTGAGGCTCAGTTTAAAATAATGTCTCAAAGGCTATTTAATGTCTAATTTCTTGTATAGAGCAATCAGTGAGAATCAAATTTGCTATTCAGTCATAACAATCAACCAGACTATCATTGCTAGCTATTACCTCATACCAAGCTATGCAGACATGTCCATGAAGCAAGCTTTGGAGTAAAATGGCTGTAAAAATGAAAAATACTTTTCATACACTCTAATTTTTCTAATTCATCAGTAATTAACTGAGATTTTTTAATATACAGAAATGAATTTGACTAAATAAGTAAAAAGAAAAAAAAAAGAGAAAAGTAAAAGAAAAAAATGTCTACTTCTTGCATTTGTTTTTCTGCATCTTCCTTGGCTCGTTTATGAGCTTCTGGCATAATATCATCCAACCATTTCAGCTCTCTCTGGGTAAAGATATAATCCATTGCTTTGCGAACAAAGCACATTGCTAATACCTACAAATATAAAAAAATAAAAAGGATTCATTAAAAGATATAATAAAACAAAATCAATTAATGGAAAAATGGTAATACTATTCATTTTGATATGGAATATGCATGCACAGACACAGACACACACACGCACACATATATATATATTATATATATATATATATATATATATAAGGAAAATGAAATAAATGTAACTTATGTCTTGTTAAAAAACTGATTATCTTAAAACACTTAAGTAATCCAAGCTTATTAAACAAGAGAAATGAATTGATGGTTACATGTAGCCATAAAAATAAGTATCTGCTTAAATACATTAATCCAGATTAACTTATTTTTAATGTAAATTACAATTTATTTTGAATATAAATTAATGTTTATTTTTTGTATTTTTAAATAAAACCAAGTAATCTCCATTTTAATTAAAAAAATCTTTTAAAATTAAAAAAATAAATATTCACAGCTCAAAAACAAAATGTTTTAATTTTATTTTTCTTACATAAATATTTATACTTATTTGATTATATTTTTTAAAATTGAAAAAGCTGTAATCCCAGCATATGCCAACATTAAAATTCAAATTACGTAACAGTCAGTTCATACTCAGCACCTAAAAATTGTATTGTGCATGAAACTCCAAGTTGTGCTAGCAGTGTTATATATATATATATATATATATATATATATGTAAAGACTAATTTAAATTTAGTGTTTGTTATGTAAACTTGTAACCAGTATTTGTTGTATCTCTCTCCCCCCCATACACATACCATATATATAAACCATATTTTCTTGTGTAAAATATGACCATGTATTTCAGGAGGTAAAAATAAGGAATAAATTACATCCTGCAGCCATCTCTATGTAAATAGTTTTTGAAAATTTGAGCCACCTTATCCCTTAAAATCTCAATGTTGTACATATATTTCACTAGAATATTTAATTTTTCACAATATTAAAGAATAGAAATGAACCAAATGTTTAGCCATTACATGTTTTTTTCCCTAATTTCCATGTCACAATTTATTTTGTGGAGAAGGGACTAACTAGACATACATGGTGATATACTTTAATGTGTTAATCTATAATACTTTTCTGTCTGATATGACTTTATTATATTTCTATATATGAATAAACTATGAAAACAGAAAAAATATTGTCGTCCATTAAGAATGAATAGAGAAAATTTTATAAAAAGACAAAAAGTCAAAATACAAACAAATTTTATCTTGTGAGCAAAACTGAGTCTATTTGCAATTTTTCTATTTGAAATAATTTTTTTTAAGCTGAGTAAAAATTTCTGAAAAAAAGTACTTGTGTATAATATGATATCCCCTTTTGTTTGCCTTTAATTTTTGTCTGACCCTTATTATGCAGAATAAAATATGGTCTGTGTGTGTGTGTGTATGTATATATATATATAAATTAGAATAAATTTAAGCACTGTTATTTTACATTGACACTGTTTAATTACCACCAGCACTCACTATGCTCCCTCTATCTATCTACCCCCTCATATATATATATATATATATATATATATATATATATATATATATATCAATATTTTTAGTGTTGGATTTGAACTGCAAGGCACATTTTTCTTTAAGTGTGAAATAAACACTGTTTAAAAAAATTATTTTTTAATCCGACATGTTTTTATTGCTTCAAATGTTATTTTTAGTGGATAATTTTATTGAGCAAATGTCCTGTTTTTTATATATATTTTTCTGCGACCACATCACCCTTTACATTTGGCTATCTAACTGCAGCCCCCTTGATTATTATGCATGGGGCGCATTTGAGCAAGAGCCCAACAAAACTCCTTGTAACTCCAAAGATGAACTGAAGGCAAGGATTATGGCAGCATTCACCAACTTAAACAAGGAGACCATCCAAAATAGTTGAAGTCAATGGCAATTTTATTGAATAAATTTACTCTTGAGTATTGCAAGATATTTTTGTGTAATTTTGGTAAATATATTCATTAAAATGAGACATCAGTGTTATTTCCATTTTTGTGTAATCTAGACAACAATTTATCCATCACATTCTTGCTCTCTCTCTCTCTCTCTCTCTATATATATATATATATATATATATATATATATATATATATACATATATATATATACACACACATATATTTATATATATATATATATATATATATATATATACACACATATATTTATATATATATATATATATATATATATATATATATATATATGAATTTCACACACACACACACACACATATATTTATATATATATATATATATATATATATATATATATATATATATACACACACACACACATATATTTATATATGTATGTGAGGGAGTGACTCTCATTGATTTTGAGGATCCAAAATTTTAAAGACACATACACACACACTATATATATATATATATATATATATATATATATATATATATATATATATATATATATGTAGGTAGTGAAATGGTTAAAGTTCAATTCCTGTCAGTGCTCTTTCATTCATTTTTTTTCACTAATGCTTGTAGGAAAGTCATGAACATAACTTTCTCAAGCTATGGGTTAAATAGCACGGAAGGTTGAGCTCTCTCACTATGGGTGGCAGTCATTGTCAGTGAAGGAAAATAGAATTCAACAAGAGGAGGACTATTTTCAGAATTGGTGATGCACCATTTCACTGTTATCAGTTCTTCCAAAATATGTAGTTGTTTTCACACATCTTTACTACTATAATCAAATCATCTGTGTGAATAGTCTAGTGGCTCAGTTCTAAATTTAACTTTTGGACATTTATATATCAAAATTGATGGGCAAGTACATACACAGACACATGATTAAAGACAGAGAGAAATACAAACCATTAGAGGGAAGGCAATGGAGATTTTCTTGATGGTCTTAATCACCCAAAGGATTCCAAGACAAATTAATTGGATTAAAGTAAAGAGATGAACACGAGTTGTTCTAACATGTCTCAGGTACATGTAGTCAGGTTGGTATTTGGCAGGCATGAACAGAATCATCACACGGCACACTAACTGCATACCCCGTAAAGATGACACACCCATATAGAGGAAGACACCATACAAAACTGGCATCGGGATGTTCTGGAAGGAAAAAAAAAAGAAAAGGAAGAAAACAGTAATAAAAAATGAAAATAATTTCTCAATAAACTTGTTTAGGTTTTAACCTCTTTATCTGGTGTTCTCTGTTCTGACAGTTTCTAAGTTTTTAACACATTTAAAGCTTTTATCTGTATTTCTTTGGATAAAGTTTTTAGTTTAATTTATTTCTCTTGTTTGGACTTATTTATTTACTTATTTCAATTTTTTTACATTCTCACATTATTTATTGATTCTATTCTAATTTAAATTCTCTTCATAAGAATTCATGAATGCTGTTAACTGTATAATTTATATTTATTAATAAAACAGGATCTTGATCAATAAACTGAGTGACAACACTTCACAAAATACTGAAAATTTCACAACCTGAGGAGAAATTTTGATAAACTTAATGCCTAAAAGTTAAATCCACTTTAGCCGAAAGGGAGACAATCTACTTCCACTGCTTAGAACACATCCATTAAGCTGAGAAGCAGGAGTCTAATATCTTCAGAAATTAGACAGTCAAGGATGGTGAGTTCACTCCTAGGTAGGAATAAAAGAGTCAGCGTATTTAACAATTTCAATGTATTTCTCCTCTTCATGTAAATGTTAAGGATAGCAAATGTTGGCTAATTCATTTAAAAACCGAAAAGAATTATTATTTAAATACACCAAGAAAAATCATCCCACGATGTACACATAAAATATTAAGAATTATTTCAAACCTATATTTCAGTTTTATAATTATTATTTTTTTTTGTTTGGATTTTTATAATTTTTTTTTTTTATTTTCTGTAATCTTTTGATTTTTACATTCCCACATTATTTATTAATTCTATTCTAAAAAGAATTCTCTCCTTGATTACGAGTTCATGAGTGCTAGCAACTGGACAAAATTAAGAACAATCAAACATGAAAGAAAAGTTTACGATTTAGTTATATTTTTTTAGGAAAGTGTGGGAGTTTGCCTGTAGTTCATTCTTTAAAAGTTAGAAAAAATCTTTCGTTAATAAACTTGAATTAGTGAGACCATTATCCCAAATCCAAACATTAAAAAAAAGAGAAAAAATTGCCAATTATAAGTTTAGTTAATTCCACTCTCAACTCATCAAGAGTATTTTTGCCTGATTTTTCACCTCAAACTGAGTTTTTAACATTGTGACATATACATATAACTCCATCCACGATTTCTACTGTCATCTCCAGCCTAGACCCCCCCCCATGAAGAATATTCCTGCTTCTGAAGAAACTCCTCTTTTTCCAAACTCTACAACAAATGTTTTGCTGCTCCATGCTTTCCTCATTGTTGGAAATCCACTTTGGCAGTTCCTGTTTTTATGAACTCTGGCAAACTGTCTGGTCCTAATAATCTATTCTCCCTTTTTGGCAAAGTACTAGAAGCTTGAATCAACTCAAATTGCTTAAGCATCTCACTTTGTGTAGTCTTTTTTGAGACAATATGGCTTTCCAGCTGCCATTTTGTTAAATTATTACTGAAAGAGTCTGTCAAGCTCAGACTGTGGCTTTAGATATCTGAAAGGCATTTGAGAAGGTTTAGCATTCTGGCTTTCTTCATAAGTTGAAGAGCTATAATGTCTCTGGTTGAATTTTTGATTCGATTCAATCCTTAACAAATCTTGTAATGACAATTGTGTTCAATAGCCAGTCAATCTTCTAGAACTCTTTATATTAATGCAGGTGTCTCCCAGAACCCTATCCCTGGACCTACCTAGTTACTTATCTTCAACAATCTACCCAATGGCATCAGTTATTCATATGCCATCTATGCTGATGACACAACTATTTATTTAATAGTAAGTCCAATAAGTAAAAACTAGACTAAAAAATGAACTTCAAGCTGTTGTTAACTGGGACAAGAAATGGCTTGTAAATTCTGACTTTTAGTCATCTTAGAGAATCATTTTTGCCTTCCATCAACATGGCTGATGACAACCTCTACAAGAGCAACTCATTGTGCTTCCTTGATTTCACATTTTCCACTGGCATGTAGTGAAACGATTATATTGAATCAATTGCTAGATGTGCTACCAGGAAAGTTGGTTCACTATGTTGTACCAGACATTCTTTCTCACTAGAATCCATCTTTGCACATTTATACATCTACCATTCATCTGTGCATTGAATATTGTTGTCATATCTGATCGATCTGGTGCTCCTGATTTCTTGAAATCTGCAGTGTTATTGATCCTGACCTGGCATTTTCAACCACTTTCCCATTGCCAAATATAGCTTCCCCATGCCTTTTCTATAAATATTTTCATGGTACTTATTCTGATGAACTTCCTCCATTGTTTTTTTTTATTCCTTTACCTCCACAGACAAAAACAGTACATGTTAGGACTTCATAGAGACATTGAGGTATTATGGTGGATGTTGTAAGAATGTTAAATAAAAATGCATTCTTTTGCTGTAAGGAATACAATGATATGTTTTGGTCAGTAATTGTGGCTAGCTAGGTTTAATTATAAGACCATCAGCTTTCTCCCATCTGCCCTCTTGGCCTTGTGGTACATTTTTGTATCTTGACAAAATAAATATTGTTTTCCTCTATGGTACCTAGACTTTATGAATTTAAGTGTACTACTAGATTCGCAAATACGTCTCATCAGTTTATTGTTGAAATAGCAAAAGATGAGTTTTATTCTAATAGTTTCTTCTCTTGCACTTCTCACCTGTGGAATTCTCTTCTGGCTTCTTGCTTTCCTGTCACCTATAATCTTCAAAAATTTAAATGCAGCGTCTTTCTGAAACCTGTTCTTTTATTGCCCTTTTTCTTCACTAAAGTCTTATCGTTCTCTTTCACTCTTAATAACCCTTTGTGCCTTAGTGGCATTAACAACTTTCTTGGGTTGAAATGATTAAAAGTCTCCAAGGTGATCATCAAGTTTACTGATTGTATAGCACCAGAACTGTTAATAAGTATGTTTAATAAATCTTCATGATATTACAGGTTATATAAATGTATTATGATAATTAGTAATTATTTTCAATTCTAAAATCACTTACAATATATTTCCATTGTATTCCTACATAAACTTTTAGTATTTGCTGTGTCACTATGTATGTAATGATTAGATTGAATGAGAGATTTTACATATTTGATATACCACAACTAGATTGTATTATTCTATCAACAATATTGAAATTTAATGATACTTATCAAAGTTTCGTGATGTTTTCCTCTTCAGGACCCAGATAAGAATTCTTCTCTTACCTTGCTATTCAGAACCCAGATAAGAATTACCATGAAATTTTAAGTCAATCTTTGCTAAGTATTGTAAATTTTCATTATTTTTGATACAATAAATAATTATCACTAGATAGCCACTGAACACGTTTGTAAATAATTCTGTTCAGTTTGACATACATTAAGTTACCTGATTAAATCAATAATTATTATTATTATACTATTCTATAAATAAAAAATCACTGTCCAGTTGTGATGTTGTCTTTGTTCAAAATAGCCAAGGATTAGGAAGGCTGTAGTTAGAGAGAGTATTAAATGAACAAAAGACTAGGTAGATGAAACAAAGAACAGAAAGACTTGAATAAATCATATACTACTAAAATCCTACTCTAATGTGGCTACTTGCCATATATATAAGTAGGAACAGTCCATTGTCACAGTAGTAGGGATGAGCAGAAAATATGCTGAGTCCTACTCAACAAACAACAGGAACAAATTTTACTAATTATCAAAATTTATCTGAATGTCATAAATGTCAGACAATGATTTTGATATAACCAGATTAAACTATTTAAAAATTGGTTATTAATTAGATTAATCTGATTTGTTATAAGTTTAATATGTGGCAGATAATGTCAAAAAGCTCAAAATATTTGAATTTCAATCTATAAATACAAAGAATTCACATGAAAAACCAAGGAAAGAATTCTACTAGCGAGTTGAGAAAAATTAGCAAAGCAAGGATATTAGTTGATAACATTCTACTTACCATAAGGACAGATGTTAAAGTCACAGAAATTCCTATCATAAGGAAAACCAATGTACCTGTTACTCTCTGCTCCCTGAATTCAAAAACAAAGAAACAAGATGCAATTAATGAAAGTTCATAAAATAATTTTCTGAATAAAATAACAAAGATTTTAATTCAAACAACAAATCCAGGATTTCTAAAATCATGGCTTTGATTTTTGGTCAATATTTTTTTCTGGGTAGTTTAGTATATTTTTTGCAGGGAATATTCTGGTGGTTATGGAGCTACAGTCTTTTTGTTTTGTTCTTTGTCTGCAACTTAATTTGGTGACAGAGATTGCCTTGGTAGATGCTGTGCCTTTATGTTGCCCTGTTGATTGCCTCTCTTTCAAAGTGACAATGATTGAATCAACAGGAGACATTTAGTTTTTTTTTTTTTTTTTGTTTTTTGTTTTTTGTTTTCTTTTGAGGCTGGTTCTCCAACTAGGAAGGTCTCTGGAAGTTAGTAGTACTTCATCTTCACCATGTGACCAGCCTACCACATGTTTTGTGGCTTTGGCTGAGATGGGAACCTCAGTATTAATAATGAAATCACTTAAAGGAGGTGACGTTCAGTACTGGACATGATAGAAATTGTTCACAGGATATGTGAACTATTTCTAAAATGCATAAAAAAATCATGAATCTTATATAGCTAAGAAATTTCAATTTTATTGTAAGTCAGACTGGCCTAATGGCAAGTGGTTCCCTGATTGAATGGGGACCCCTATATCAAATAAAAATGCAATAAAGAAACAAACACAGACAACTGTTTTAGTAATAAAAAAAGTATAATGCCTTTATAAAAGTCATTTGCACCCAATCAGTTACTCAAGTTCAATGTGAGAGGACATTTTCAAAGCTAAAGATCATAAAGACAAAGTTAAGAAATACATATTTTTGTACAAAAATTTTAATTGTAACCTATTTTTCTAATTATTTTTTGAAAATTACATTTATTCATTAATAAAATTAAATGATAGCATTACAGTTGTGAGTGGGCCTCTTTTTTCTTCTGGCCTCCAACATTTTTAGATCCAGTCAGCCACTGCCAATATTTATTTGCAATCTTTTTTTAAAATTTTTAATGGTAGGTAAAACTAAGAATAAAGTGGTTAGAAACCTAGATAAGAACTGGTCACAATAGAGATATTTACAGTATTTTACAAGTATACACATATATTAAGCATTGTTTTGTGCTAATATTCTAGAGGTTGAGAATAAGCAGATTAAAGACAGGGACAGAGATGAACAGATAGATACAAAGAGAGAATATTTTGGGGGGGAATGAATAACAACCTCTAGCACTCAAATAAAATATGCAACTATTTCTGCCATGAGGCAGGCTATATGTAAGTTATCAGTATCAGTTACACGACCTGATTATCTCCCTTTGAACAAGAGATAAAATTTTTTTTTTTAAATATTGCAAAGTTGTCAGCTTTATTTTGTATGTCAGAATTTAATTTCTTCTTTACGATGATGGCAATGATGACTAAATTTGCCACCAACATACAGTTTCACCAAAACCTGCTTCTATTATCCATTTCCTATTGCTGTTTGACTTTGCAAGAGTTGGTTAGGTGCACAAGAAAATCAGAGTAGAAGAAAGTGCCAATTGTATGAATTTGTTTAGGAAGTGACCCACATATTTGATTTCATGACCTTTCTCTACAACACATATGGAACAAGACATGCAGAATCTAGTTATGAAACTCAATGCATTGCTGCTAGCTTTGTTATAATTTTGAGTGAAATCTTCTGTAGCATGTTTGTCATTTGTAGCCCTCTTCATCTGCTGCTGCTGCAACTGTTGAGATCTTTTGTAATCATCACCTGCTTGTTCCACCATTGGGGGTTTTGGGGTTGGTCATGCTTAGTCTGGGTCCTTTGATTTTAACCTTATTGCTAAGAGTTGGCCCTACCAGAAGTTTGGAACTCCTGATGACATTGCTCTCAAAGTCACTGGAGCATGAAAGCTCCTCTATCACAACAAGGAGTGGCCATCAGAGGTAGTGCAAGGTAACAACAGGGAAATGGAATACATTAGTTGCAGCCTTGCATCCAAATGTGCCATATGTTGTTAAGTTTTGAATAAAACAAGTGATATAAAGTTTGTTTACCTAACCCCCAGAAATTTGGGTCTTTCTCCTGGAGCAGTACACTGGGATTCTTTTTTCAAACTCATGACATGGGTGATCGAGAGGACTGTGGCAGCGACAAACCAAGGCAGTCCAAGTAGCGAACAAATCATAATCAGGCTGGCCACAATAAACAAATCCAAATGATAGCCATGTCCTTTCTGTAGGAAAAAAACAAAAAAGAATTTTTTTTATTTAAATTTACTATTTTAAGAGAATGTGTGTAATTTTTCTAAGTAAAAGTTTGCATGATTAAATTGTTATTTAATTTATATTTTACATGATTCATGTAGAAATCACAACAAACACAATATAAATGCAATATGACTTGTAATCCACTCCCAATGAATGATGATGGTTTGCTTTACAAATTGTGAAGAATATCAGAAATAACAGAATTGGCATCAATGAACTGAGGCATATACAGAAATCAGAAACTTTTGAAATTTCTAGAACGCATAAGGAAAGAGGGCCTGAAGAATTTAACACTCACATCAAAGTCTAGAGAAGCAAAGGGAAATAGTGAGTAACCAATTTAATGAATTTTTGTAAATGAATGGCAAAACAAGGATAAAGTGGGATGGTAGAAGGTCAAGGGTTATGTAGAAGAAAACAAAAATTAAAAACAAGAAGCTTTGAAAAGCCTTGATTACCCACCCTTTGAAAAGATATGATCAAAAAAAAATTGCACAAGTCCAGACTCACTCTCAGCATCTTGTCCTATATCTAGTCGTAAGGTAGGATATGCCCAACTTTCACTTCAGGACACATGTGTTTATTGGCTATTGACCCTACAAGAGAGTTCATCCACTCTTTGACAGTTACTATTTTTTAACCTGCTGGCTGCCAGGTCATCCACCTCCATCAGGTAAGCTTGGTGGGGGAGCTAATTTTGTTACCAGCCGCATGACAGTTAGTACCAAGTTGTATGGTACCAGTAGTAATTTATGAGTTACCTGATTATCAAAAAGACATAGCCAATTGATATATAGATATATACTTCTTAATAATTCTTTCTAATTCCTACCAAAAACAGTGTATTTACAGTTAACAGCAATCATGACACTAAGAGAAACTCATAACAAAAATCTCCCATAGCCACTTCAAGATGAATACAGTGGTGCCACACCCCCAATATCCATTAGTTTCAATTTCCTACTGTCAACCTCAAAAATAAATAAGTCTTATTTAATAATGATCCCAAAGTGCAGGCAGGTTACACTGGTTCCCATATGATCACCAAAGTTAAGCAACATCAAGCCTGCTTAGTACCTAGATGGGTGAGAACTTGGGAATACCAAGTGCTGTAAGCTTGGATGTGTGGCTGGTGTAATGGATAATGGCACACAATTGTTTATTTGAGAGATGAGTTCCAATTCCCATTGGGAACAAATACCCTTAGAAAAGGTATGAATCCACCTCTTCTCCTCCCCAACTATGGGTTGAAAAAGTTCTTAAAATCTAAAAATATTTTCTGGCTTTAAATAACCTGAAAAGGGTTGATAATCTGTTGAAAACAAATCAACCAATTGACAACCTGACTGGTTATTCTATGAGTACTACTGCTACTATGTAATACATGTCGTATGGTTAGGTAATTGGTAACTAAACCAATCTAGCTTATCTGGTGAGGTGGGTGGCTAAACACCTAGCAGAACAATGAATAAGACCTGTGGACAGACTTAAGGGTCAAGAACCAACTAGCACACAATTTTCCTGATCTATTGCTTTGTGGGAGACCTTGACCAAGCAAAGCCTGGGTGAAGTAACACTAAACAAATCTTTGCTAAGTCTATGCAAAGAAAACCCTAACCAGGATTTGGTGTCTGGCAAAATGGGAACAGCTGCTGGTCATCTTGGACATTCCATGCCACTGAAATTCAACTGTTCAGGCCAAAAAAGAGCTGTTAGTGATCCACATACCACTCCCTCCCTCCCTCCCTCCTTCCAGCATTCTCATTCCGCACAGTTTTCTCTATTTCTTCTTCCTTTCTAACAAAGTCCAGCAGCAAAGTGTTGAACATGCATACATAACATAGAGACACAAGGATCTCCAGTTCCAGGAGACACCATTCCATATCCAACATGTGGTAAATGTTTGGATTGAAGTATCTGCAATATTATTGGTCATGAACTGGCATTTCAACTTTCACTTTCCCATCACCATAATGTAGCTTCCTTGTGCCTTTTCTATAAATACTTTCATGCTAATTGCTCTGATGAATTTTCTTCTATGGTACCTCTGTGAGGAGAGTTCTTTTTTTTGCCAACGTCTTACGACTGGGGATTAATGCCAGACATATTATTGCGATTATTTGTGAACTGTTTTGATTTTCAACTTTCATTTCACATTGAATTTCTTTTAATTTTCAATTTTCTTCCGTTCATATTACTGACTTTTTTGCCAAAAGTTTGATTTTTTTCTTTCTTTACCCCCTCTCAATTTTACTTTACTCTTTGTTGTTTCTTAATTTTTATTATTAATTTTGGTTTTCTGTTATAATTATTCTTTGAATATATTTTTCCTTTTTAATTTTGAGTAAACTCCCCCCACCACAAAACTTTAATTTTACGTTATTTATTCTACGTCAGACTTTATTTTTTCTTTGTTTACATATTATTTCTATGTGTTTCATTGTTCTTTGTCGCTCTTTGTTTAAATATCTGTTAAATATTCTGTATTCCTTTGTTTAAATCTTTTGTGTGTTTATTCCAACTTTTCGTATTTATTTTTCTATTTGTTATTTCTTCTTTATTTTAGTTTACATGTTTCGTTCATTTTGGGGCTGACTAGAATTTTCTAGTGGCAGCCATATTTTTTTTGTGAATTTGTTAAGTATATTTTGTTTCGTATTTACTGTTGTATTATTGTAAAAAAAACATTCTTTTTGTTTATTTTCTGCCTTAATTTGAGTTTTCATTTGCGTACTCATTTTCTGTGCTTTGTAATTTTTTACTGTTTATATTTTTACCGTTCATTGTCTTTTTTCGTACATATTCTTTTTAACTAACCCATTCTTGCATGTTTAACTGTTTTTGTGTTGTCTTGTAAAATTTCTTTTGTGATTTATTTAGCTTTTGTTTAATTATTTGTTTTCTGTTTTTGTGAAAAGAATTAAAAAAATTGTTTTAGAAAAAAATGTTTGGCACTAAAAAAAAGAAAAATAATCCTTCTGATAAAATTCTTGATAAGGAATTAGAAATGGATGCAGAAGAGACCAAAAAATTAGAGGAAAATCCAAATTCCTCCTGAAATTTAAATGAAAACAAAAGTCAAGAAAAAAGTATAGTGGCCACAAATGGCCAAAACTCTGTAAGTGAAACCACTTTACAAGACCAAAGTATGGTGGCCAAAATTCATCTATTCAGACCCATAAGAATAATGACAAAAATGTAGCGATCGGAGAGATGCCCTCATGCTGGAAGTCCCCACCAAAATGTAAAATCAACATAACAGAGTTCCTGGAGAAAGCCAAGAGCTACGCATATCTGGTCACAGCAGATGGGCTTTTGTCAAATCCCAAGGAACTAAGAAAGTTTGAGAACAGAATTGTGTCGGTCTTTGTGGTGGACAAGCGCTCACACAAAATTTGCCACTCCACATAAGACACTGTAATTAAGGCCTTGATTTCTCTGGGCATTAAAGCTCAGAGAGTCATTAAAGGAAAAGGCTATTTTATGTCGGACCTACTGTTGCCCATGTCTGCCGATTGTGAAGCTGCAACGAGGAGGGAATTCATAACAAAGAACCTAATTCTGTGCACAGAATATGAAGGCAGGCAGAGGACTAATGTTGCAGTATACAAGGTTCCTCCTCAGATTGTCGGGGAGCATTTGGCCGCCTATCTGTGCCAGTTTGGACAGATACTCAGTGCTTCCTCAAACGATCTGACTGGGGGAGGAGGAGTTTTGAGTTGATCGATAGAAAGGCCTTCATCTCCATCCCCAATTGTCTGGATGTAGAGAGACAGGGAAAGACACAAACAGTCCCACTACCTCTACTAGCATGAAGGGTGATTCTCTGGCCAGCAATCTTCGGCAACAGCAACTGAGATTTGAACCCAGTTTTGAGAAGAAAGAAAAATTACAAAAATTGAAAGACACTCTATCTGAAAAACAATTACATCAACAAAAAGAATCCGGTTCTTCCTCAGTTCCTTCATCCCCATCTTACAAACAAAAACTTATGATACCACCTCCTTTGATAAAATCTCTGTCTCCTTCCCCTTTCAATATGACTACTCTTCAAAAGTCTCCCAGTCCCCAAACTTATCCTACCCCTACCACTTCCCATACCCCTAAACCTTCTCGTATTGCTCTGAAATGCCTCTTATGGGCGTCAGATGGCCTCTCCAATGTCCAGGCATTGTCTCATAGGGCATTATATCAGGTGTTAGTCAGGAGTTTCATTGATTGACAAGCTCAATATGGCCTTGGGTGCCTGGGTTGAAATGTCTCAATAATGATGAGGCATCAGTCACCTGGCTGGTGAATCATGGGGCCCTCTGGGTCACCAAAAGACTTTGCTCAGTGGGCCTGGAGAAATCTCCAAATTGCCAATGCTGTGGTGGGGAGGTTGAGACCCTGGGTCATGCCTTTTTTCATTGCAGGTTGGTATCGCCGTTGTGCAAGTTTGTTGAAAGCCTCATGGTTCGCATGCTGCAGGGAAAGTTCTTTGTCCTTGAAACCTTTTCTGTTTGTAGCAATATAGCATCACCGCTGACAAGGGTTGAACAATATGTGTTCTACTGCTTGCTAGGTGTTATGAGAGTCATGATTCGAATGACACGTCAGAAGGGATTCTATGAAGGCAATAAGTCCACTTCTTCCCAACTGATCTTGTACTTTAAGCATCAGCTTAAAGTCAAGATTAGGACGGAAAGGTGGTGACTTACTTCATCAGAATTCAGCAAAAAGTGGGTGAATCTTTCGCATTTGTGTCGTGTGAAATGGGCTGACCTTGAGTGACACTTTGATGCCGGTTAGGCATCAGGATATTGCACTTCCTGGGTTGAACTTGTGCAACTCATCCCCAAAGTAGGCTAGGTTAGGTACAGTTTTGATGCTTTAGTTTCTTTTTCTTTCAAGTTAACTTAGCTACGATATGTATGCTCATTGGCCCCCTTTTATTTCTGTCCCTATTTTTCTTTGAGTTTAATTCCCCATCTCCTCCCTCATTAGGTGGTCAGTGATGTCAGTTCACTGGTTGATGCAGGGCACCTTTCATTTTGCATGAGTGTTTTTGTATTTGTTGTTGTGTTTGAATGAGTGCATATCAGTGTGTGTGCTTGGGATGAATGAATGATTTATATTATTATAGTCCCGCATTGATTTTGGCCAGTTAACTGATATTTCTGCCACATTTAGTGATTGTTGGGGTGGGGGGGGGTATTACTAATATTATTTTCTTTAGTTTCTTGTAAATAGTTTTGTATTCATATTTGTAAATACTCATTGGGGCTAGTTTTTAGAATTGTTGTTTTATTCCCCCCCCCACAGACAATGATTCGTAAATATGGGGACTAGTTTCATAGAGACAGTGAGGTATTATGGTGGGTGTAGCAAGCAAAGGTACATAAGAATGAGCTGTTTTGGTGTAAAGAATATTGTTTTTTTATGATTGGGTCAATCTAAGTTATAGTTAAGACAGAAGAAGACCATCTTTTCCCCAATCCCCCCTTCGGCCTTGTGCCACATTTCTGTGTATTAAACAGAATAAATATTATTTTCCTCTATGGTACCTAGACTTGATGAATTTAAGTGTAGTATTAGATTGGTGACAGGGTTTCACCATTTTACAGTTGAAATGGTTGCTCGATGTAATTGTAAATTCTATGCTAATTGTTTCTTCTCTCAAAGTTTTCACTTGTGAAGACTTCTTCTGGTTTCTTGCTTCCCAGTCAACTTTGATTTTCAAAAATTTAATTTTTTTTAATTATCTGTAAATTGCAATGATGACTTATGAAAGATAGTGGAGACATTTTTCTATTGTATTCTCTTGGGTCCAGAGACTGACTGCCACCCAAGGCTCTGTCTGCTCTGTTATTCAATCCATAGCTAGGAGAGGAGGGGGGAATAGATGTATTTATATATTTCCCAATGGCATTTATATGAAAGTGAACATTACAGACAAGTCTGGAATTTGAATTCAGTTTGTCAGTTTTACTTTCTATGCTAATAACTGTTATGTTACTGGCACATCTCTATCATATAGGAACAAAAACAGTGTGTGTGTGTCTATATATATATATATACATATATATGAGAAAGAGAGATCAGTACTATCATTGGGCTCCAGCATCTGAAACATATCCCCATAAATAAGGAAAAAGAAGCTACATAACAAATATAAGAGACACATATAAGTAATTTTTTAACTAGAGTTCCAGAGTTTTCTATTCTATTAAAAGGCTGACAGCCTTATCATGTTGAGGTTAAGCAATGTCAATTCTGCTCAGTTCTTGGATAGGTGACTACTTGGGAATACCAGGTGCTGTAAGCTTGCAGGTACAGGTGGTATAATGGGCGTACAATCATATCACATTGAAAAACCATTTCTCATTAAGCAACATCAAGCAGGTGAGTACTACTGAATAAACCCCATCCTAGCGATGAAAGATGCCAAGAAAGACCAAGCTTTGATGCCCTAATCTCCAAAGATCATAAGAAGGCTTGTTTGCATTTCTTGTTAGTAGAAGAATCAAGTGAATTTTATTGATTTTTTTTTTTTTTTTTAATCGAAAACAAGGGTGAAAATACTTACTTTGAGTTTGTTTTCTTTTCTATTTACAATGACAGCAGTAATCTGCTGATCCATAAAAATTAGAATTGTGCATAGTAAGGCTGGAATAAGGGCAGCAAGGATTGTCCACCAAGGATTCCTGAAAGGGTTCACAACCCAGCTACGTGTCGGTAAAGTAGGCTACAAAGAAAAAAGTGATATATTACTAGAAAAGAAAACTGCATAACAAAATGTCACTATATACACTTAGTGTTGATGTCAGTCTTACACAATGGGGGGGCTAATATATAGGTTGAAGAACACCTATTGAGTGGCCACTGAGGTAACCAGACCCTTGGATTTTTTTTTGTCTTCATTCTGCATTATGAGTGTCAAACCCTCCACACTTTCTTTCTCCATTGTGAATGCCTAAAATTTTTTACTATCTTCCTGATCTTAAGCAAAAGTGTATTTTTCATTCCAATTTTCCTTAAAACTTCCTAGTTGCTCACATGCTCCATCCATGGTATTCTCAGCATCCTTCTGTAGAACCACATCTTTGTTGCCTCAAGTCTCCTCTTCAATTTCCAACATTCCAACAATTTTCCAACATTCACTGCCATACAGGAAGATTGATATTACATAACAGTATAGAACTCTTATCATTGATTCCAATGAAATTTTCCTGTTTCTTAATATTTAGCTTGATTTCTGGAAGGCATCTTTCACTGTTTCAATACACCTTCAGACTTCTATGTCCCATTTTTTACCATGTGTTTTAACACTTCACAAACAGTTAAATTTGTGTACTTATTTTATTTTGATATCACCAAATTGCAGCTTGTATATTGGACTATCCCTTTTGCTAATGATCTGCTAAATGTATTTAAGTGAGAGGGATCAGAAAATAGAAAGGCTTACCTTAAATTCTGTAGGCACCAAAAGTTTTGGAGTTCCAATACCAAGTAATGCATCAACTGTGACCATAGATACAATGGCAATGATCACAGCAAAGTCGCTAATTATTGCACGCACCTAGAAGTGAAATGGAGAGAAACATGATTTACATGTTTGCAATGAACAGATGTAAAAAGTCAAAATAGAGCTTGATGCAACATCTTCCCATCATATTATAATTCTACCTGTTCCTCCGTTAGTAAGTTACTATATGTGTTATGCCCTGTTATTACCGCAGATAAATAATGGACAATTCTGTTTTGATTATGATGAAAGATAGAAGAAAAACATATATCAAAGATGCTTTTTGGTTTGAAAAAGAAAACATACATACTTTTTTTAATACTATTGTTTACAAAGCCAAAGTACCACTCAAGGTAGTGAGTTAAGGAATGGAGGATGTTGTAAGGGTGTATAGGGAGGGAGTAAGGGTAGCATATTATAACGATATGTAGGATAGATAAAAGTTGACCCTCAGCTTAAAGAGAAGATAAAGATGATAATGGTCTAATTGCATTTAATGTCTGCTTCAGTGAAATGAAAACTCTTGATAATTTGAATCTCTTCATTTATGCTTTCTTATTTATGACCTGTATTCATACTTATGATTTTTATTGCAACATTCTATTAAAGTTGTTAAGTTCAAGAATTTAATTATGCAATAGGGGATTAAGAATAAAGATTCATCAGAATAATTAAAACAGGAAAATTGTGAAATTTTCTCAGGTATCTAAGATGAAAATACCCTTGGAAAAAATATAAATCCATCTCCAAAGCTACAAGTTAAAATTTATAACTGGAAAAATTATTGTTTTTCTCAAAAATTGTCAATGCGGTATTTAGTTGCAAAAAAAAAAAAATTTTCTAATCCCAAATGTTTCAGATTTAAATAAACCACAATGGGGGTTGATAAACCATAAAGAAAAACAAAACAAACTTAGCTGAAAAAGGAAGACTTGTAAAAAGACATTCAATTTTTGGATTTTTCTGTTAGGTCAGCTCATCAGCACATAAGCATGTGGTTATGTGTGGTATTACTCAAAGGTTTCAAGAACTTAAGATGCAAATTGGCCACATTTTGAATGCACTTGGACAATGTTAACATTGCCTTTTGAATAGGACTGGCAAAACATGTTCAGATTTTAGCTGAGTTTATTTTCACCTCACTCTAATAATTTGAGTAAGACATGAATCCATCTTTTTCTCCCTATATCTATGGGTTAAATAGCATAGCAGACTGGGTTTCCTAACCTTGGTTGGCAAACAGTTAAGGAGAAGAACAACTCTGAATACAAATAAACTACTTCATCATTTTTTCCCAGCACAATCATGGCTATACGCAATTTACAGATATTAAAGGACACTAAGGTTCATCATGATTATTTACATGCTGAGGAGCATGACAAAGCAGAAATAGAAAAGGAATTTTGTTGAAACAATTAAGACAAGAATTCACTTACCAAAGAAGGGAAAAAGCGTGCATTCCGTATTCCTTTCAGGGCCATGGCAATAGTGAAAGTACCGGTGAAGAGCATAATGGACAAGAAAAATACGTCAGGAACGTACGGATGGATATTGCAACCGTCACCTATTAATGTACCCCCTAAATCCGTGCAGTTAGATTTGGTGACAAAATTCCAATTAACTGAGGTAGTATTGGGTTGTGCAGTGACAACTGAACTGTTGGGTTCAAGGCAGGTGCAGTTGGTTGGCAGTTCTTTTGAATGGCCCGTCTTAACTGGATATTCATCATGGATATGGATAAGCTTCACCAAAGACTCAACGATAAAAATCAGAGAGATAAGAGCTGCAAAACTCTCCTCAGTAAAACGTGTGATGTACCGTACCAGAGCGCTGAGATCAAATGCAACCATGATAATTAAAATGAAACCAGTCCAGAGCCCAATCCACAACCGAAAGGCCAAATAATCCAGGCTTTGCTCACTGAAATAATTGGAAAAAAAGAAAAACCAATTTGGATTAAAAAAAAAAAATGAAAAAGAAATATTTATAAGGAAGGATACTCTACTGATGCATAAAAACATGAATTTGTATAAATTCAAAATAGAAAATTTGCTTTGTTTACATTTGGATACAAAACTGTGCCAATATGAAAAAATTCAGGAAATCTATAATGAGAAAAGTTTCACTTAATGGTACTATTTCACCTTTACCTGGCTAATTGGTTCTTTGTAGCTGAGTTAATCAGAGCATACCAAATCTAATGATAACTCTCTCCACCCAGAGGGATGCAAGTTTGAATCCTGCCAGAGAGCGTAAATTTTTCTTTAATAAAATTCCTCAAACATTCAGGCCAGTAGACAAAAATAAATAAATATACTGTTTAATAAATAAATAGAGCATCTACTCAAGTAGAAGTATTCACTAAAAATAACATTTAAAGTGACAAAAAATTCTAAAGTTTAAATGATAAAAATATTTGATTCAATAACTTCTTCTATGTCATATGTCATATAGAAAATATATTTATTAACACTTCCACTGCTGTGGACGTACACATACATTTTTATGAAAATTTAATTTCCTCCTGTTGATTCATATAGGTTTATTCTGTGGGTGTTATTTGATTACTTTTTATTTTACATTGTTGTCCACCCAGTATAAAACCCAAGAGTCACCCACTGTAAAGATTCACAGATTGAGACTGTTTCTTGGACATAAGATGGGAAGGGTAAGAATTGTAGATCACAAGGATATGTAGGCAAGATAACAGTTGACCATGGACTTGAAGAAGTTAAAATAGTAAAAGTTGGGTAAGACATCCTCTCAGGAGTTTGTTCCACAAAGAAGTAGCTCTTGAGAAGAAGCTGTCTAAATGGTACTTGCTCCTTACTAATGGAATACAAAGAGAATGAGGGTGTTTATATGGCATGGCAGATCTTTGCTGTAAAGGTCTGAACTGCATAAATTATGAAATGTAGCTTTTCAGAACATTTTTCATGGAAATAGCAATACAACGGAAAACGGATTGTAGGGTAGAAAATAATCCATCACCCACAAGGCCATATAAATGATTTGAATTCTGTCAAAGCTGGAAATAGAGGACTGGGCAGATATGGTAGTAGTACTCAAACATAACTGTGCCTGAGCAGGTTTCTGCAACAAGGATTAATTTGCAGGGATTAGCAGACAGGCAAAATTTTAACTGAGTCATTCAGTTTTGTAATATCTGGTTTTCATATTTTACTATTTGCATGCAAATTCTACAATTGCAGCTACAAGGAAAGACTAACTTCTTGGGTTTTTCTTGTGACTAAAATTGCTGCTTTTTTCTACTGCCACCAGTAATTGTTATCCAAACAAATGGTTTTGAGGGCTTAATTTCAAGGCAGGCAAACCCTTCCACCCAAATTGAAATCTTGGTTTCTCATTATTAGCAACATAAATACAAGGTGGAGGGATGGGAATAAGGAGACAACATAATAATAATAATAATAATAATAATAATAATAATAATAACAATTTATTGTGACTATTTATGCTATTAATAGTCTGTTTTTAGCTAGATTATTATATTAATTTGACTGATGTTTACTGTTTTTCATCAGAATAGAAATAAAATGAAAAAGGAGTAAAAAAATGAATAATAGTGGTAATACTTCATCTAAGTCCCATTACTTTTCAGACAGACCTTTTGCATATATATATATATATATATATATATATATATATATATAAGTGAACATTGAAGTCAACACTCAGAGATGACAGACTGTTTCATTCTAAACACAATCATCAAGCCACATACATTGTGTTTTTCAGGTCAGTGCTGCATTGTGAGTAATCAATGGTTCAACCCACCATACAACAAAAACATAAAAACAAATGTAGGAAAAATATTCATCAAATTCTTACACAACCACTTCCCTGAATCAAGTACTCTACACAAAATATTCAGCAAAAAAAACCAGTAAAAATCAGCAATACCAAGAACATGACACAAATAATAAAAAAGCACAACAGGAAAACTATCAACAAACAACCCGAACAAAATAAACCCACATGTAACTGCAGAATAAAGAATGAATGTCCCTTAAACAGCAATTGCTTACAAAACAATGTAATATACCAAGCCAGAGTAAAATCATCAGATAATGAAGAAAAATATACATAGGACTAACTGAAGGAACCTGGAAACAAAGAAACTACACACACAAAACATCTTTTACAAATAGTAAATACGTGAACAGCACAATGCTTTCCAAGTATATCTGGGAAATTAAAAACAAAAAGCAAATCACACCAAAAATTATCATGGAAAATAAGGAAAAGAACATCAGCTTACAACAATCAATCTAAAAACTGCTAACTCTGCTTAGAGGAAAAAAATATCTATAATTACCTTCCCAGACCAAAACAAACAACTAAATAAATGATCAGAACTCATCTCAAAATGCAGACAAAAACAAATTTTTACTTCATTACTTAACAATCAAAAACTGAAAAGAATAAATAAAAATAAATAAAATAAAAGCAGGTCATCAAAAACAAGTAAATTAATCCAAATAAATAAAGTAAATAATAAACAAATTAACAAACCACTCCCACCAAAATAACCATTAGAATAGACTACCCACAATGCAATAGACTATCCAGAATGCACCACTAAACCATATATATAAATAGTTGAGAAAAAACACGTGGCCTGAGGATTGCATTTAGCATGAAACAGTCTACTGCCTCTGAGTGTTGACTTAATGTTCATTTTGATATTTACATATGCTCTATCTCTGATATTGAGCACTTTATACCATAAATATAACATACTTTAAAATTATATTGCTTCACACACACACACACACACATATATATATATATATATATATATATATATATATATATATATATATGTATATTTAGACAGACATTTTTCATTAATGCATGTTTCATTAAAATAATATAGACAAGTTTTTGTCTATTTATTTTAAGTAAGTTCCTTTCATATTGTCTGATAAGATTAATAACATTATCATTGAAAGACAAAAGGAAATCACCATATTGACACATGTTTAAATCCAATCTAAGATTTCAGCTTACATAAGCCATTATCAAAGATGACAATTACTTTTCAATATATCAACCATTAATGATAGTCTGTTTTTGTTGCATGAAAAATTTCAAAGCAACGACTATCTCGTGTATAAGCTTAGATTGGATTTAAACATGTATCAATATGGCGATTTCCTTTCGGCTTTCAATTATTAAGCTTATCAGACAATATGAAAGGAACTTACCTAAAAAAAATAGACAAAACCTGTCTATATTATTTAATGAAACATGTATTAATATATATATATATGTATGTATGTATGTATATATATCAGAAATAAATAAGACTAGGATGAGGTATCAAGACTTGAATGCCAACCTCCTGAAAGATGGTGAGTTGATAAAAAACACTTTGTATTTGGACTACTGTGAGTGTCCAAGTTGGCTATCAAGGAAGAGCATTCAGTCTTGTAAAACCTTGACACAAATCATTATGACAAGACCTGAGATGACCCACCTTGCTTTGTGTCAGATTAATCCTGGTCTTGTTTCAACAAAAACATGCCTATGATGATGATGTCCATAAGTCAGTGTTAAAGGTCAGGTAGAAACCAAAATTTCAAATTCTAAATTTTTTTTAAGAAAGGTGGGCTGTGCTTCTTTTAAAGATGAACAAAATCCAATTTTTCCACACCAGCTATTTCTCTGTATCTGACCTTATATCATACTATGGTTAACTTAGTAAATATCAAGTAGATATATTTGTCCTCTATACATCTTCTAATTTTGGTAAGCACCAAATATTGTTAATTAATATTTCCTTTATGAATTTGTACCTTGTCTTCATCCTCTTCTCAGCACAATGCCTAAGTAATACCTACTTTTCAGTAATGGTAAGCAAAGTTTAATTTAAGACTAGACAAAATAATGGCATATCAAAAGGATATTTCTCTTGACACTGTTATAACTAAGTATAGTCAGTAATTTTTATATTTTTAAAAAAGCTATTTTTAGGATTTTAATATAATCATTAGATATGAAACTGAATTTATATATTTTATTTTTCTTGAGAATGACATCAAAAATGTTAAACACTATTTATTCAATTATTTACAAGGTTATAAAAGAATGATTTAGGAACAATATTTTTTACAGTAGTATAGAATTTAATTTTTGAACAATATATTATTTACAAGATGATGAAAATATTCCTATAGTTCATGATATTAATTTTATATTTACAAGATTATAAAATATGTGAACAAATGATAAAATATTTATTATTTACCATATTATAAAGAATAAGTAAGAAAATAAAGTTTTTAGTCATAAAATTATGAACATGTCTGTAAATAAGAGAATAAGAAAAATTAAATAAATACATAAATAACTGTAATTTTTGAAAAAAAATGTATTTTTCTGACATTTCTTTCATTTGCTATCAGCATAAAAATTATGTTAATCATCACTTCCTTTGAACCAAATGTTCTTCATTTATTTTTATCATTTCACTCCTAGCAAGGCAAGAAAATTACTAAAATGCAAAGGATTACTGAGCATTAGAATATACGAGAAAAAGAAAGTATTATTAAGGAGATGGAACAATGAAAGAGAAAAAAGATAACGGCTGACATTGCATTTAAATTTTTGAAGCTAGAAAAGAGTTTTCCCAAGTATGAAATATGAGAGCAGAAACTGTTAGCATAGAACTTCCGGTTACAACTCGCCATTTTAAAATTTTTTATTAAATTTTAATTTTAGATTTTATGATAGACCACAAACACTCAATATTTTGAATGAGTATCTAACTATTCATTGAGTGATCAATGTTTTCCTTATGCATAATTATAGAATATCTGTAATTTTTCCTGGGTATTTAAGGAATTACTACTGCATGATTTCCAACAAATTGAAATTATATGAGGCATTGGTAAATAAAAAAATTATAAAAGTTATTTGTTGTAATTTTAGAATGAGGGTTCAGTCAAGGATTTTGAAAATGTAATTGTCCACTTTCTGATGAATATATAATAATAGCAAACTGAAACTCTTGTGGAAAATTAAGACAAGATGTGATCTGAGGTAGCTATAATTACAGTGAGAAAATATGCATCAGTTTAGTTTCATAGATTATGGCAGTATTAAAATTTTAAAATAGCTTTTTTAAAATCTGTCTACATTTCTCAGATGAGATATTGTAATTATTTAGTCTTTACATTGTTTGAACTATTATCCTCATCTCTGTTGTCATATTCACAACATTTTGGCCATTGTATGCTCTGGCCTTCTTCAGGTGATTGGAAGACATGGCCTAGTGGATAAAAGCATTGGTAATCCAATGACTTTGGCCACAGAGGTGAACAAAAACTCAGAGAGTTGAGTTACTAAAGGGAAATAACTAAAGCTGAAATATCCAGAAGAGGCATGGCATGTGGAATGAGGACAATCTACCCCAGTGGAGGAAATAAAGGGTTTGGTTTGAAATTCTAATGTATATCACCTGAAGAAGGCCAGAGTGTACAACAGCTGAAACGTTGTGAATATGATAACAAAGATGAGGACAATAGTCCAAACAATGTAAATACTGTGAATAGTTTTTTAAAACAATAACAATTACCCATGGAGTATATAGTAATATTCATGCCAAGAGTAAAATGTCCTTTTGACAAAACATTTTTTATCTGGTCCAAAGTTAACCTTTGCCCAATACTATTTAGTTTCTGCGGAATCTCGGTTGTTCTATTTTTGACCAATACATGATTTTGCTAATTCCTACCTGTTGTCACTGAAGATCTTAATTGTTTGTTCTAGTCTAAAAGCATAAATAATCATCCAAGAATTAGTAAAAGATTGTTTTTGAGTACTTACTGACAGAAATTATAGAGAATCGTCTCAAATACTAGAACAGGACCTGTACTCCCCAGAATGGTAAGGGGTTGCCCTGCAAGCAGTGAATACACAATGCCACAAATGGCACCTGCAAGAATACTCTCAAAGGCAGCCTGAAGAAAAAAAGATAAAGAAATTCTTTCAGATAAGATAACAGAACCAAGACATTTGTCTCTAATTGTAGTTTCTTAAAAAGTTCCATGCAAATATCAGCAAGAAACATTTAATCTAAAATTGTCCAGTATCTGTCTATATTTCTGAGATAAGGTATTATGTACATTATTTACATTATTCGGGCTATTGTAGAACTAGAACAGTCTACCCCAGTGAGCAAAATAAAGGGTTAAGTTCGACATTCCAACTACCTGAAGAAGGCTGGAGCGTACAATGGCCGAAACATTGTAATAAATATGGCGACAAAGATGAGGACAATAGTCCGAATAATGTAAATAATATAAAATTGTCCAGTTATGTATTTTTATAATTTTCCCATCATAAAAAGCATTTTTAATAAAAATCAGTGAATGTTTCCAGTAAATCCTATTGTTTCTCAAATATTTAACACATTTCAGTTATTATTATATTCAACAATTTTACACAAATATTTTTTATCATGGAATAATTATAAAAAAGCATAATTGAACTATTTCAGATTAAATGCTGTCAAATAATAACATATTCTTAACATTGTTGTCGCATAATGCTTTTAGTATTTAAAAAAAATTAGAATTTAGTTGACACTAATAATTAACTTAATGTATTCATATAATAATAATAAACAAATGTGATAGCTGTTAATGAATTTCTAGGGACATTATTGCTAATTTAACAAAATAAAACCTCCTTAACAGTATTTTTCAGTGTACCCACATTGCTACCAAATGTGCCACTAGATTGAAGCATAATGTTGGTTAACCGACAATACTGTGAAAAATTTGCTCAAGTCCCTTCAGCACTTTCCATTTGAGGGCACCTTGGGTAAGCATGCACATGAATCATACCATTTTTTATGCAATCATCATAACTAACAAGCAGCAGTAGCTGATAACAACAAGAAAACACCCAGGTAGACTGACCACACACAAAATGTCTTCATGTCTAGACAGCTAGACATGTTGTCTGGTCAGCAGTAGTAGTACAAAATGAGCTGCAAGATGTCCCTCAAAGTCCTTATCCTTGATGCTCATCTTGATAAATTCAAGGAAAACATGGTGGCCTACACAGAGGAGTAAGGCAAGCACTTCCACTATGATATACTGGACTTTGAATGCCACCTCCAAGGATCGTATAATATGATGTGGGACTATCGTGAAAAACTACTCCTAAAGCTTTTGTCATCTATCTTGTGTAATAATAGAATAAGTAAATGCTACTTTTGAATCATGTCATTTTTCTCCGATTTTGCATGAACAAGAATATTCATATTTGCCAGTTTTCCCAATGGAATTAGGTAAATATCAGAAATATCATTATGTTGGTCACAAAAGCAAAGTTTGAAGGAAATATTAAGCATTATTCATACTTTATAGGCATAAACAAATAGGATATAATAATTGCTTTCACCTGCAGTTTACAACATATGTTGATGCAACAGTTTTATTATAATTTTCATTTCAGTGAATATTTATGTCTTCAATTCAAGTTTTGATTTAATAACTATTGTAATGGAGAAAGCCTTTTATGTTATTTTTTTTTTCAGAAATATGACAATATTTTACATAATTATAACACTATAAGCATTTTTGCATTAGGATGTATAAACATCCCAGGGAACTATGCATTTTTGTTGGGTTAAAATATACTTTTAAAAATTATAATGCAAATTAAATGCCATTTGTTAGTAATATGATGATGGATGTTTCCAGTGATTTAAACATATGAGGATTCAACAACCTTATTTAGTTTTTATGTTTGTGTTAATAATCAATACAACATATTTTGAAATTTCTGATGCCACTCTGGTACAAATATTTCTATCCAAAGCAACTCGCTCAAAGTGTCTGACTTGTCAATGTGTCTTATACTAAGACACATTGACAGGTCAGAGCTTACTCTTTAGCTTGTCTTTATACCTGAGCCACGGCTGTCCAACAACCATTTGTTCACTGTTGACCTATCTATACATGAGGACCTTAGGTATTCTGTTGTCACTTCTATAGATATGAAAAGACCAACAGCAAAATGATTATGCTATTGATATAAGCTGAGCTGTTTTGTTCTACTGAAGTAAAGTGTGGACAAATTTCTAAAAGATTAAATGGCTTAATACTTTATAGACTGACCTTTTATATATCACCTTTTTTTTTTACTCAAAAGCAAAAAGAAACTTTTGAATTTGTTTTTGACAAACAGCAGAATACAAACCATATTTTGCTCAGTTGCATCTCCAAGCAAACCACCAAATGTGATGATTGGAGTGAGGCAGGCAAAGTATAAGAAAACAAAAGATGCCAAAGACTGTACATGGAGGGCATCTGTAATGTCACTTAGGTAGAATGGAGCTTTTCGTTTGATATCTGAAATCAAACCACCAAATAACCTAGCAAAAAAAAGAAACAAAAACTTATAATTAAAAACAGAAACAATAAGGTGGATGAAAAAAATAAAGCTTACATTATTGATAAAACCAAAACTAATTTTTCTTTTGCATTTTAAATGTTTTTTTTTATTTTATAGTTTATATAAAAACAATGGTAATGATAAAAACAAAAAATTAGTGAAAATCAATAATGAAAATATTTAAAAACTAATATTGTTTAGAAGTTATTAATAATTTTTAACAAGTATTTCTATAATTTTAAATTTAAATATCTTGGAAGTGATTTAGGAAAAAAGTGAAAATATGACACCAAAATTCAAAGAGTGCATTGGAATAGCAGAAGACACCTTCCAAAACCTAAGCAAAGTATTATGAAACAGGAAAATACCAGAAACATCAATCCTATATGGCAGTGAATGCCACACCAACTCCTCACTGATGAAGTGACTTGAAGAAACAAATGTGGTTCTACAGAAGGATGCTGAGAAAACCATGGAGTAAACATGAGGGTAATTAGGAATTTTTAAAGAAAATAGAAGCAAAATGGACATTTGTATTTAGTCAGAAAGAGATAGTTGAAATTTCTAGGGAACATAAATGTATGTGTTCCAGAAAAAAAGGCTTGGAAAACTTGACACTCACAAGACATATTGAAAGCAAGCAGTACAGGGAGAAAGTGCAAGTAACCTATCTAAATAATTTGTTTAAATGGATGGTATAACTGGGATTGGGAAGGATAGTAAAAAAGATATTGCTAAGAGCTACAAATGATAGAAAGTTGTGGAGAGCCATGATCATCCAAATCCAGAGTCAACAAATGAAATTATTAGCATATAGCTCTAGCTTTATCAATTATTCAGACCAAAAGGGAGAGAACTCTATGTTGAATTGATGATGACAATATTATTTTATGAACAAGTATCACACAAGATGGACACAGCATGGAAATCAAGTTGAATTTTTCAGAGCAAAAGTGGAAACAGTCCTTCTATATAGGTCATTTTAAATTTTAAAAAACTAAATTTATATTTCACTCTTTGGTAGGAGGATCTCCTGATATGGATGCCTGGGGCTGTCACAACCTCTGCACCTCACTTCTGTATGCTACAGACAAGAAACTTGACAGGACTTATACTAAGGCTCAGTTATCAAATGTTTTATGGTGACTTGCCAAAGCTGACAACTACAGTTGCTGAGAGGAGACTAAGATTCAGTGGCCATTGTTGGAGAAGCAAGAATAAAATCATTCAGAAAGTTTTATACTGGGAACTTAAGCAAGAGAAATGATCTTGTGGATGACCAGCATATTATTTAGGATGGAGATTCTCAGGAAGCAAGGTTCTATATTTATTATTATTGGATTCCAGGCATGAAAGGCTGCAAGGAAAATTATTCAGATTGAAAGGGAGAGAACTCAGGGTTGAATTGATGATGACAATATTTTTTATGAACAATAAGTTTGTAAGTGGAATTAATGAAAATAAGATAAAGATAGATTCCATCTGTTTTAATGTAAAGAATTGCACAAAATCTCTGGTTCCCTGCAGGCAGACCCTGGGATGCCTGCTCTATGGCATTTATAAATAAGCTGAGTGTATCACCATTACAATGTGTTTATGGCTACCTGGAGATAAAGAAGCAATTGACAAGCTGGATCATTTTACACTTGATGCTGCAAGAATTCCCTCCTGAACAAATTAAGAGGCACAATAACCAAATGTTCTATGGCAACTACCCAAAGCTGACAACTACAATTACTGAGTGGAGAAGTAAGAATGAAATTATTCAGTCTTAATCTGGGAACTGAAGCATGGGAATTGATTCTGTGGGAGACAAGCATATGCTTTCATTGACAAATTGATTGAAGTTACCAACTTATTAAACAAACAACTACAATGTAGGTATTTGGGTAACAAGATATTTGATAATTTTACTGCCTGTCCCTCACTATTGAACCCATATTGTTCAGTTAGTTCATGTATGTATTGCGGAATAGAATATGCCATCTGCACAATCATATGTACATGAGAGTACAGGCCTGTGTCAATGGCCAAGGAAGAGGTTTAAGAATCTGAGTACTGATGATACGTTCCTTATTTTGGGTCCTGTGCATATAATGATCTGTGCGATCAGTACATGCCACTATTAACATGTAACTCAGTACTACCTGCCACATACTCAGGTCAGCAGTGATTAAACTGCTTCATGCACCAGGTTTTTTCTGGTGGGGACGATGATTAGACACCTAGTAGAATTAAAAGGCAAGGCCTGTCAAAGGGTGAATTGAGCCTTCTTTTATGGTCAACAGCTATCTAGCACAATGGGGTAGGCTTGGCTCTATATGCAGTCAGTGCGGTGATGATATGGTATTACTGGGCAGAGAGCTTTCTAGACTGAAGTTAACAGCCATAGCAGAGGATTTATGTGATGGAATCAACAGCCACATGTCTAAGATCAAGGTAAGCACTCATTGGAGGGCATGAGCTGTGACTTGACCTTGGGACGGATGGGTTCCAACAGTTCTACTTTCCCAAGACATACTAAGCATAAATGAATAGCTCTCTGGCTTTTAACACTGATATGTGAAGGGAACTGGATAAGTGCTCAGCTGTGCAGCAATCCCATGATTACACACTGTCATGAGAATGATGATAATATGGGACCATTCACTTTGATCCAGCTATATCAGCTGTACATTTAATCTTGAAGAAATTGAATCTTACATTCAAAAGGATTTAATTTATTTTCTGTCAGTATGTATGTGCATCTCTCTCTCTCTCTCTCTACATATATATATATATATATATATATATATATATATATATAAAATGAAAAATAAATAATATGAGTTCTCTATATTTTCTATTTTTCATTTATCTTGTTTTATAGGTTCTACTTTGTATTAAGCACTTTTCATTGCCAATTTCATCATAGTAGGAGTTTGTCAAATAAGATTGTTTTTTTATATATATATATATATATATATATATATATCCACAGACAGACTGTTTCCCTGTATCACAGCTCCCCAGTGTAGCGAGACATCCAGTTGCTTCAAGCCAGGATCAAAACCCGACTGATTTAACATCAGTCAGATATCTTACAACTAGGCCATCATTGCACAGCAGAAAAGGAAGGGAATTTTAATGTTTTTCTCTATATGAAATATGCCAATGGCTCAGAGAAATTTTAAAAAATTTTTGCTTTTAAAATAAAATATATGTGTATATATATATATATATATATATATATATATATATATATATATATATATATATAATTATTATATGTATATTTAAGTATCAGTATAGGCGGGTGTTGCGTGTTAATAATAAGTATTCGTAGATGTCAAGTCAGTGAAAGGTGGGGGTGTCTAAATTTGAAACGGAAGATGTATTAACCCTCGTCTAGTTTGCTTCTAAATAATAATAATCTATTAAACAATAGACACGAGTTAACGGTTTTTTGTAGGCATCATCAGATTTTTGGTTTGAACTATTAGCTAAAAACTAGCATACAATATAACAACTTGTTTAATCGATAGCCCACTCATCAGATTCATGGTTTGAATAATTAACTAAAAACATGCATACAATAACACCCTTCATAATCCATAGCCGAAATAAATAGTTTAAATACCCTAAAAAAAGATAACCCTTTATGAAGTCGTCAAAAAACAAACGTTACGACAGTTTTTTTTTTTTTTTTTTATATGCACAAAAATCCCTTTCATAAAAAAATAAAATAAAAAAATAAATAAATCTCCATAGACATGCAAACTAGACGAGGGTTCTTCCGTTTCAAATTTAGACACCCCCACCTTTCCCTGACTTGACATCTACGAAAGTAACTCTATACTGATACTTATTATTAACACCCAACACCTGCCTACCCAACTTAAACAATTCACCCTAGCTGTTACCATGGAAATTTTGATTTCAATTTTTAAAACACGTAAATTTCAGAAACACGTTATTCCAAAAAAATTTAATTTGAAGATGGAACAGAGCTTATTTTAACTCAATTTAATTTAAATAATTTAAATAATTATATTGAAGTTTTCGGCTCTTGTTTTGAAACATGGGACTTCTTATGTCGCGATTTGGAATCATATTTTTAAATAAATAATTATATTTATGCTCTACTTTTGTATCGAGCACTATTTTTTAAAAATAATAACTAAAATACTAAGGGACTTTGGATTATTTACCTAAGCAGTTCCTTCCTATTTTCTATATATTTTCACATATATATATATGTGTGTGTGTGTGTGTGTGTGTGTGTGTGTGTGTGTGTGTGTGTGTGTGTGTGTGTGGCACAGCTGTTAGGCTGTTAGAACATTCACTTTCTGACCAGAGGACTCAGGTTCAACTCTCAGCATGGTCAATTTGGCAGGGTGATGTATTCTTGTATTCTTGATGTCATCAGCCTGAGGAGGCAATCCCAGCATGTGGAACCATGGGAAAGTGCTTGAAAACCATACCAAAGGTTTATGAGTGAAACTGAGTAGATGGAACTGTTTGCAAACCATCAAGAGTTATGTTAGCACAAAATCACAAGTCATTGTAACTGAGGCTTTGAGCATATGGGTCTTGTTCAAACTGCTGATGTGCTCACTCCCAGGAACTGTAATTAAGGTCCACTCAGCTTAACTGTGCTATGAGCCACAGGTGTGCTCTGTGGGTGTTAAATAAAGGCAAAATTGCCTGAGAAGGTGTCTGCAAAAGGGATTGGGTCGCCACCATAGAAAATGGGTGTGCTCAGAAGCTAGTAACCAACCATTATTATACATATTATTATATATATGTATATAATTAATCCAAATATAAAGTTTGTCACTTAGCTGATTGGTGTTACCTTCAGTATCCCCTCTCTAGAGTTTCTTAGACAAACCCTCCAGCAATCACTCTGTCTAAGTATGTCAGTAATTGACTGTTTATTTTCTCATTTTTCTTTTATGCACTTTTCATTAGTGCAAGGTAGATTTTTTTTCATAATGTATAAACATGCATGCACATGTTCCCACCTGTGTGTATGCGTAGAATACTGTTTATCTTGTCTCTCTATACTCTCTCCTTCTCATTGGTTTTATACTTTTTCTCTCTCTCTTTCAATTGTAGCAATTATGATATCTAGTATATATATAAGGTACTTCAATATAATGTATATATAAGGTACTTCAAAAATTCATAGCTAAATTTTTCAACATGATATCCTTCCTTGTCAAGACATTTTGAAAAAGAACTGTATAATATATTAAAAAATGAAAGAGATATTGGTGTAAGGCCGTGAAGCACCAAATGAAATAATTTGAATGAGCCTAAAATGGCATTGTCCATTCTTCATTGATGTTAAATGGCCACATATGTTTGGAACAGAATTATAAAATACTATATGAATATTACCTTCCAGTTCGCACCAGTGTTTCATCACTATGTTCATCTTCATCTTCTTCTACAACAGCTTTTCCATTAGGAAGATGACCACCAGATCCTGGGGTTTTACGGCCCTCCTGTAAGCAAAAACAAGAATGGTAAGCATGGGGAGAACACAAAGTTTCAAAGAACTCTTTTTTCTGTTCTTGTGCAGAAAGGATCCACACACCAAATAATGATTTAAAATGTCAAACAATAACAGTGAAAAAGGATTTTCAAATGAGAGATTTAATTATATACTAGTTCAGTACCTGACAAATTGCTGACAGTAAAATAATTAAATTTCAAATCTAAATTGTTTTTTCATTTTAAAATAATACATTTATTAGACAATATATTGTTTAAATACTAAAGAAGTTGTAAAATTGACTTCAAAGGGCCAGCTTATATTCTTTTTCTGTTACTTGGTGGAGGGGGGTCAGCCAGACAGGGGAAATTAACCCATATGACACAGATGTCCATTTTAGTTTCATTCAAATTGTGTCGAATATATGCATGTGTAATGTTAATTGCTTAGATCTTATTAAAACATGACAAGCATATTCGTGACTAAAACTTCACAGTGATCATGCACGCTATACTATCCCTCTGTGCTACAACAGAACTGATTTTGGCAGAAGCTAAAATTGGTTCTGTTGAAGTACAGAGAGATCATATCACATGCTCCATGGAACTTTAAGTTAGGGGTATTCATGTCACATATTTAATACAATCTAAAAAAGACATTACATTACACATGGCTCTATCCTCAGGATAGTGAGCACTATATACAACAAAATAACCTATATTAGAATTATATTTCAATTAAGTGTTTATATTTTGTGTATATATACATATATATGTATATATATATATATGAATCCATCTTCTCCCTCCCCAGCTATGGGTTATATAATAGGAATTGTATTTCGAAAAATCATTGTTATTCTCAATAAATTGTTAATGCAAAATTTACTTGTAAGAAAATAATTATTCTTACAATCCAAAATGTTTCAAATTTAAAGTGTTAAAGCATAAAAAAAAACAACCAACCAATGTCTACACAATGCCAAAGTTCAAAACTTGGATTGGAGAACAATTCTTTCATATTATTGTTTTCATCAGAGTTAAGTTATGGGAAAATTGCTGTTTATATATATATTCCTGAAAAGCTGACCCATATAATTTCTAATCCCAAAATGAAAGATGTCTATTTAATAATTGCTGTTGCCCAATAAACAATTTATTTTTTTTATTATTTATATGCATCCAGATTCATGCATAGTAAAACAGAAAAAAACAAAAACAAAACAGGTTTCTTTTTTTCTCTCGTAATTTTACAAAGAAAATATATTTTGCAGGTTATATTGTCATGTGAAATTACCTTATACTGAATCAATGGTTAAAAACAATAATTCTTAATATTTTCCACATATAACAAAACTCACAGAACCTTCCTTTCCCAAGGTTAAAGAAAATCTTTACATGGAACCAAGAAATATTACATACCAAATTTGGAGACTATACATATTTTTTTAATCATTTCACCCCAAGCAAAGCAATAAAGCCATTAAAATGCAAAGTTTTACTGAGTGTTAAAGAACATTAATAAAGAAAAAAACTATTAAGGTGGGGGAACAATAAAAGAACAAGAATTAAGAAAACAGAAGATAACAATTGACACTTTAAATTTTTAAAGATTGAAATTGACTGGGAAGTTCCAGATGCAAGAAGTGTGTTAGCATAGAACTTACAGTTACCATTCAACTGTACAATGATGAGACCTTGCTGCCAATCTAGTACTGCAGTTAAATTCATAAAGTCTAGGTACCATCAGAACAATTACCATGAAAGCATTTATAGACAAACACAGGGAATCTACATTATGGTAGTGGGAAAGTGACTGAAGCCAAGATGACAGGTCAGGACAAATAACATTGCTGATGCTTCTTTTTTTGCTATATATATAAAAACAGACAAATTATAACTTAATTATCAGGTCATCCCATAAGTTCTGTCCGAATTTTACCTTTTTTTAAAATGAACAAAATTTAAAGAGTATTTTATAATGTCTAATGGAGCTGAACATTATTTTTATATTTAGATGCATTTAAACTGATCAAATTTTATTTCAGAGAACAATAAAATTAAATTTTGTTTGATTAAAACCCTACTAACATGGAAGTACTCAAGAATCATTTGAGGCACATAATGCTTTATGAGTTCAAGAAAGGAAACTCAGCACCCTAAGCAGCTAGAAACATTCACTCAGTTTATGGAGAGGAATGTGTGAGTGAAAGAACTTGCAGAAGATGATTTTGCAAAATTCAGAGGTGGAGATTTCACCCTTGAAGATGAAGATTGAACTGGACATCCAGTTGAGTTTGATGAAAAGCTTCTTGAAGCAGCCCTTAAAGAAAATCCTGCTTTATCAGTTGAGGAATTGGCAGTGGTTCATCATCATCTTCAACAATTTGGAAAAGTTCCTAAACTTGGAAAATGGGTGCCTCATGAATTGTCTGAAAACAACCTCAAATCCTGAGTTGACATCTGCTCTTCTCTCCATTCTCGTCAACTTGTTTCACCTTTTTTGGATAGATTTGTGACTGGCGATGAAAAATGGATCTTTTATCGAAATGTTAAGCATCGTAGACAGTGGCTTGGTAAAGGGGAAGGACCCCAGCCACAGCCGAGAAGGGAACTTCATGGGCAAAAGGTTATTCTTTCAATCTGGTGGGATCGCCAAGGAATAATCCACTTTGAATTCTCAAATATACTGTCATCAATTAGAGTGTTTGAACCAAGCTTTGAGGAAAAAAAGACCTGCACTAGTGAATCGAAGAGAGGTGATGTTTCATCAGGACAATGCACGACTCCACACAGCAAGAATCACATCACAAAAGATCGAAGAACTTGGTTGGGAGAAAATTCATCCACCTTATTCTCCTGATCTTGCTCCTTCAGACTACCATTTGTTTCATAGCTTACAGAATCATTTGGAAGAAACAGCTTTTGTAACACAGGAAGAGGTTAAAACTGACATTTGTGAGTTCTTTGAATCAAAGCCAAAAGAATTTTACAGTAATGGAATTAGTAAGCTTGTTAATAGATGGAAGGAAGTCATAGATAATCAGGGAAAATACATTGTTGATTGAATCTGTAATTAAATGTAACATTTGGTCACTTGTTTTCTTTATTCAAAATTCGGACAGAACTTATGGGATGACCTGATATATCTCCATATGAGTGCATAGCTTAGTGGTTAGAACATTAATATTCTGACCATGAGACCCATGGTAAATTTGTCAAGGAAGTGATGTTTTGATAATATTAGCCTGGATGCCTGCATATAGCAATATTGGGAAGGACCTGAAAACCATACCATTGGCTGATCCAAATTTTCAAGTGAACCTGAGAAGATGAAACTATTCATAGTGACTAAAAGTCTGAGTGTTCTAACCCAACTACTAAACATGTACTCTCTCTCTCAGAAACTGTAACTAAGGTCTGCTTAGCATAGTTGCAATATAAACCACAGGGGTGGGGTTGAAGAAATACAAATGCACCATAATAGGTGTCTGTAACCCCCTAGCACATGGGTACACTTGGGAATGAGCAGCCAGACATCATATAAGTTTTCATGTGATGCATTCTATTGTTTAAGACATTATCAAACTTTTACAATGATGCAACAGCACATGTGCTAGAAGGAAAGGGAATGCTGAGAAGTTAGAATGTCAAAGTGTTCTTGATATATAAAAATTTATACATTGTTTTCCCATATATATATATATATATATATATATATATATATATACACGCATGAATATATATATAAGCTAGTGTTGTCAAATAAGAAAAGTACAGGAAACTGAAGCATTTGAAAATTAGAAAACACAGTTTTGAAAAGCTTACTTGTGATGGTACACTTTTTGGGGGCTCAATTCTAATGCTGGGGTCCCATTCACCTGGTGGTAGAATGAAGACTTGGTCTAAGAATTCATCAATTCCTGCCAATAAATCATCACGATTCCTTGCTTTGTAAGCTACATCATGGAACACCTACAAAGAGTAAAATATATATCAAACTTTTGGTATTCAGTATAAATATAAGAGATAAAATATGCATACATGTCTCTTACTATATATATATATATATATATATATATATACATACATACATACATACATGTGTGTGTGTGTGTGTGTATATATATATATATATATATATATATATATTATATATATATATATATATATATATATATATATATATATATATATATATATATATATATATGTATATATTATTCAACAAGTACACCAAAAAAAACAGGGTAGGGAAAAAAAAAGCAGATAATAAATTACAAATCCTAAAATTTTTATATTTGAGAAATAATTGAGGTGATTTACTAAAAGTCTTCTTTTTTTATTAGTGCAGTTTCTTTTGAAGAAGAAGACAGTTTTCATACACCAGAAAATGATGATTACATACCTTAATTATAAAAACAATAAAAAAGGTTTGAAAGAAACAAAATTAATGGTATGAGCTCCATCCTCTCTAGATATTAATTCATTGAAAATATTTGGTCCTTCATTAAAAGAGATTATATTAATGAGAGTTTCCTTTACAAATATTTGCTTGAAGTAGTGTGAAATGTTAACATCTTGATTATGTCATTATTTTCTTGTTGAGTTATATTTGCTATCAATTTTAGTTGTTGAAAGTCCTCAAGTGATGTGTTTTCTCTTAACTGATACACTTCTTTATGGTATTTTTGTATCAGTCCATGAGGTTTGAAAAAGAATTGTCCTCACTAAGGCAATATATATTTTTCACTTGTTCAAAATCATTCATAATTGATCTACAATTTTCTGTTTGTATGTATAAGATTTTCTGGGGTTACTCAATGACATATATACCATTATTGCATTCTTTAGATGAACAAAAACCAAACTGAGTCTTTAGAAGTTTACAAACTAGACTCTCACCATTCTAATTAGCAAAATAGTCAAGACAACTTTCGCTCTAATGAATCCAATAGAGATACCTTTGAACATGTAAGGATCTTCAGGGATAGCATTTTGTTTCCACAGTGCATTTATGTATGACATAATCCACTGCCTTGGAATGTGTTTTTGATTCCAGACTATGTCCATAAAACTGAAAAAGAAATATTTAACCAAATTATGTGTTGCTCTTTGGCATAACATAGAACCTATAGTTACTCCAACTAGGGATGTGATGAAAACATCATCAGCAGGATGTTGGATGTAGTCAATGGCAAAATATAACAGACCAAATTTGTGACAGTGAACTCCAATGATGTCCTTCAAAATATCCTTCATCCTGGACAATGGATAAAACTTAATTATTAAAAGTAAGATGAAAACTGCAGGAACACATATAGTAGCACTTGTGTCACCTAATATATGAACAAACTGTAATCCCTATGGGTGAATCCTGATGGGTGACCAAGTTAGTCTACACATATTTCTATAAATCCTTAATCTACAAGAGTTTAATGTTAAATGCTATTTGAATATACATGCTTACATTTCAGGAAAAAATGATCTAATAAAGTTTAGAAATGTTCATGATAAAAAAGGAATAATGGTATAATCAAGATGTTGGCTTTGAACACTGCTTCAAAAATGGTTAAGAAGGAAATTCCCATCAATTCTGGAAAGAGCAATAACAGCTAATGAACTTAAACTGATTTTCTTGAAAAATTGTTTTAAGAGACAGATTTTAGAAATTTCAACTGACAGCCATACAAAATGCTTAGTCAAATGTTTCCTTATAAGGAAACTGCTAATATTTTCATTTCCATTTTTTAAGAACTAAGATAGTGCAGAAACTGTCACTACAGACTATGTATACATGCTGTTAGTCCTCATAAAGGAAAAACTGTCGGCTTATCTTCCTGAAAAGTTGTTTTAAGATTAAGATTTTATAAATTTTAACTGAAAGTAGTACAAACTGTTCAGTAAATAAATGCTGAATGTTTCCTTATAAGGAAACAGTTAATATTACCATTGCCATTATTTTGTAAAAAGAAAAAAATTCTTTATAAAATAGGAACTAAAAATATTTCTGTGTTGCTGCCTACCTCATCTGACATGAGAGTAGCAATGGAACGACCAATCTCATGATATCTGTTGCTGTTTCCCAGGGGGCCCAAAAGAAAGAAAATAAACTTGGTTGGCACAGGAACCTCTGTCAAATCACCTAGGATCAGGGCTTTGTTTAACCGGATGAAGCCGGTAACTTGGTGGTTTAAGTAGTCCACTTCTCCAACCAAAATATTGGCGGATTCAGCTCCTTGTGGAATTTTCTTCATAAAGTGGATGTTGATCTAGAAAGAAAGAAAATAGAAAGAAAACTGAAGAATCACAAAAAGAATCACATAAACCATGATAGATAAAAAAAATAAAAATACAGGTCATCGTCAACATACAACTGGTTATGACCTATCATCCATAAATCGATCTGATTATAAGTTGGCCTGTAATTAATTTTGCAATCTTTTTATCTTTCCTTAGGCATTTATTGTATTTTATATAATTTTTATGCTTTCTTTACATTTGATACCAATTTGTATAATTTCTCTACACATTGTTTTGTTTGTTATTTTTACGTTCATCAGGTTTAAATCAAACACTGCATATTACAATACAGTTGATTTAATATTTACTAAACATACAAAAAAACAAAATACAAGTGCAAAAACAGAAAACATTTTAGTTACAAAATAGATACAAATGCAAAACAAAATTTCCTCTTTGTAAACATCTTGAGATTTTTGAAGAAAAATTTCAAAAATATAAACGGACTCAAGAGGGGAAAGTGTGTTGTACCGAGGTTGCCCTAACACCGAGCCTGAGGTTTCTGCCAGAATGCTAGCGCTGCAGAGAACTAGGATGTAAACTGATGCACACCAAGCTGGAAAACACTCATGCTGACAGATACAGAATGCAAGATGGCCAGACATACCAATTCATGGTCATGGTTCTAAAGTCAAACAGTCATAAGTCAATGATGATCTGTATACTTCATGTGATTGAATGACAGAGAAAGCTGTTACATGTAAATGGTGGGAAAATTGGTTGGTTTAGTTATTGGTTACATCCTGCAGGAATGATGTGAAGCTTTATGTGGGGGATGAAAATGTGGTCTTGAAAAAGAAAAAAAAATCAAGTACTCCACCAAACAAACAAAGGGAAGGAAAAGAAGAAAGTTGATAAAGTATAAATCCAAAATATTTTTATGTTCCAGAATTTTTATTTTTTCAGTTCAGTTTCTTCTTATGAAGATATTTTTCATTTCACCTCAAGCAAGGCAATAAAGCCACTAGGATGCAAGAGGTTACAGAGTGTTAGAGAATATAACAAAAACTACTATTAAGGGGAGAGAACAATAAAAGAACAGGTATTAAAAAGATAGAAGATAATGACTGACATTGCATATAAATTTTTGTACATCAATGTTGACTGGTAAGCTGGAAGTGTGATAGAAGAAAATATCAATCTAGAACTTATGGTTACATCTAGCAGCCATTGAACTGTAAAATGAAGAGACCTTTCTGTCAATCTAGTACTGTGCTTAAATTCATAAAGTCTAGGTGCCATAAAGGAAAGTTCATTAAAACAATTACTACAAAAGTATTTTTAGAAAATGCATAGGGAAGCTTTGTTATGGCAGTGGAAAGGTGGCTGAAGCCAAGATACCAGGTCAGAACCAATAACAGTACATATTCTTCTTTGGATTTTATCAAGAATCTTTCAATATATAGCAGGAGCACCAGATCAGATGTGACAGCAATATTCAAAGCAAGAGCAAATGGTTGACTTATAACTATGTAAGATAGATTCTGGAGAGAAAAATTCTCAAGCACAACACAGTGAATCAACTTTCTGAGCAGCAGACATAGCAATTGATTCAATATCTTTCCACTTCATGTCAATGGAAAATGTTAGTTTGAGACACTCTCCTGGAGGATAGCATCAGCCATGCTGACAGATGGCAAAAATAAAAAAAATATGAATAAACTGTTGCATTGAGGTGCATTTGAATTCGTTTTGAAAAAAATAACAATACAATTGACTTAAAATACAATTTTCTGTTTTCACCCACTTCCTTGGTGACGTATGTAAGTTAAAAGTTGGGAAAACACAACATGAATTTTCACCAGTTTATCCACACACAACAACCACCATACTTGCAAAAGGATATTCATACATTAGAAAAAAAGATCATTAAATATAATATACACAAAATGTCTGTTGTTTTCAGCAATACATATTTACATGAACATAAATCATTGTTAGAGGCTTCCACTTCCATTTGAGCATCAAGATTGACATCCTCACTCCCTATTCTTTTTCTCCCTCCTAATGCTGCAAATCAGAGAGAGTTTAACAAGGCCATTTGCATGAATTTGATTTTGGGGGACAACTCTGTGATGGAGAACCTAACAAACTTGGCCAGAAGCGTCTCTCTTGCAACTCAAAGGGGACTGAGACATGTAAGATCTAGCAAACCTAGTTGTATCAAGCTGTTGGATACTTGGTCTGTCAAGATCCACCTAGGCAATGCTAGCTTGACTAGCACTGCCCTCTTCTACCAGTTTGGCTGTTGAGATCATATAGATATATATTTGTATAATTAAAAGAAATATGTCTAACTATATCTGCTTATCACATGCAAAGTTTATCAGCCATTGATTTACTGATCCACACATCTGAAAGTAAAACAAGAGTGTTAGACAGTTTCAAATAATTATAGAAAATAGTAAAAAATACAACATATAAGAAATATTTTTTTTACATTATTTACACACACTGTTGTGCCCACTAACTGAATCATGTAAATAATAACTTCTCATCCCAGAAATTCAGACAGGGAAATATTTTATATTTGCTAAAAAATAATTGGCATTTTTAATGAAATAATTTCAGTAGCTTTTTTTAGTCAATATCTAACAACCATTATTTTAAAAAAAATCACACAATCATTATTATATTGTTTTTTGTTTTTTTTAATATGGGAAAAAAATCTATAGGAATTTTATCATAGCTGGATAGTCTAGCTTCTTTTATAAAAAGAACTAAAGATTTGCTTTAATATTGACTGGCAGTAGAATAATTCCTGAAAAATTGGATCAAAGAACCATCTCCATTTGTGTCTGGGTTCAAATTTCTGAAGTCACTTGATAATAGGAAAAAAAAAAAACAAAATAGAAAGTAAAAGACAAAACCAGAGCCAAGAAAATTGATTCTAATCCAAAGTGCGTGTGTAGTTGGGGAGGGGGGATAGAGAAAAAAAGAAACAAATATGAAGGGTGAGAAAGAAGAAATGAAATAGAAGAGAGAGAGGAAAAAAGAAGGAAGGTTATGAGGTAAAATATTGATTAGATTGAAAAGAGAGAGAAATCAAGCAGTTCATCAAAAACAGGACAGAAATATGAATAAATTATAAAAATAGTAAGAAACTTTACATAATATTAACTGAATATAATTCTCTATACAACATCCCCATGAAATCCAATTTATTGTCAGAATTAATAGAGAAGGAGTTATATAAAATATGCTAACATTTCCTTAACCCATTAACAGTCATGATAAAAATCAAAATCTGGTATTAACATTTTCACTGTTGCATTGTTGCCTTGCTGTACTGACCCTTTGTGGAAAAAAATAAGAAATTGACATTTACTGGAAATAAATGTCTCTAAAGACATTGATATTAATTTCTCATGAACACTGACATTTTTCCCATGACAGGATACTCTACAAGACAGATAAAAACAAACCATACCCTACAACAGATCAAAATAAGTTGTATTGTACAGGCAAAAGACATGCATGTTTTAAATGTCTAATTTGTTTTGATACTTTCTTATTTTGCAGAAACAATTTTGATGAGGTAAGATGACTAAAAAACTAACAAAAGATGAATAAGTCACCTTGGTGTTCATGTATGGGGGAAAGCAAGAAACTCTCTAACATGTTAATGAATCACGCAGAATTGAAATGTGTTTTCAAAAAGAAGGGGGACATTTTGAACAGCACATAAAACAATTAAATAATTAGTAAATGAAATTTTTATGTGTCATTATACTTTTAATAAATTATCCCTATGGTGTGTGACATTTACTTCACCCATTATATTATTACTAGCAGTAGAGCTCGGCATTGCCCGGGATTGTAACAGTAAGAGATAGATCAAGTATCGACCATCATAAAGACTGAAAAATAAAATTGACAAAGATTATTGTTTAAGGTTAACAGACACGCATGTCTTAATTAGATTTTTTTTTTTACGAATTGGTCAAACCCAAACTCAAACAAAAACATTGTTTTCAATCGTTATGAGTCTACCAATTGAATAGAATTTTATTATAAACAATTGTTTTGTAAATGGAATTTTAAAGCATTCTGAATGTAAAAAAAATAAAAAAAAAAGTGTGCAAGACAATAAGAAACACTACCAAAAAAAAAAAAGTGAAGTTTTGTTGAAATTGGTTGAAAAATGTAGGAAATCTGATCCCATATATAAACGAACACACACACACACACACACAAACAAACAACCTGGGTTTTATAATAATTATAACTTGATATGAGTTGTTCCCCTTTCATTCTGGTGATGCCTCTTAATCGTGTTTTCAAATTGATTTTGTACAAAAACAATAGTGTTTTTCCAATTTTTGGCACTGTCAGAACCACCACAAGGTAATTTTACGCAGTCCTGTGAAGTTTTGTTGAAATCGGTTGAAAAATGTAGGAAATCCGATCCAATATATAAACGTACAGACACACACACACAATCTGCGTTTTATAATAAATAAGATATTCATAGTAGGACCTAATATTTAATACCAGAGAGAAAAATGTTGGGCATTAACCAGTTTTGCTCCTAACTTATCACAACTGGATCAAGGATAATAAAATAGAAAGTATGTATCGACTAAAAAAAGAAAACACAAATATACTGCATAAATACTATACTAACACTAAATATTTATACACAATCAGTATTAAGTCCTAGCAGCCATTTCTTCAGTTCACACAGGGAAAACAGTGTAAACTTGATGAAAATTGCCACAAGTAGACATGAAATTCCAAATGTGATCTGTATAAAACATAGAACATGTTCTCCTGGTATGCCACAGCACACTGATGATTTTTTATCAGGTGCTCTACAATAGACCTGGATGCAACAGACTTAAGTAAATTATCACTCCACTGACCTCTCCTGCTAAAATGCCAAATTATGCTGAGAAATTCTCCTTTCCAAAAGTTGAATTGTCCTGCTTATATATTCCATGTTGTATTGACATTTAAAAGAATAACAGAACTTGTTTTGAAGATAGGCTGTTTGTCCTTGCAGACGAATTTCAACATTGACAGAATCAAGAACACATTACTCATGAATTAGAAGAAAATCTTTTTTTAACAATATCATGACCTTTCAGGATATAGGTGAGCATGGCCCTCCACATGGTCCTCTTCTTTATTATCTTGGAATTACCAAGCATTCTTGGGAAAGATAGTAAAGTTGTTTCCCCTGTTGCCTTCTCCAGTTTAGAATTCCGAGTTATCCTTCTCTTAGAATTACTTTCCATCCTTTTCCCACAGATGTAACATAGTAAGCCTATTTCCATGGAAAATGTTTTGCAGAACGACATTCTCTGGTTCCTGCAGTTCAGACTTTTAAAGCTAAAACATGCTATGGAATATACACTAGGGTAAACCATTCACATTCTACTGGTATGAAAGGAAGTTCTTTCAGACATCTTCTTCCTAAGAGAAACTGTGCCTTTTCTATGAATATTTTCAGGGTAATTGTTCTGATGAACTTTCCACTATGATACCTAGACTTTATGAAGTTAAGCACAGTACTAGACTGGCCTCAAGGTCTCATCATTTTACAGTTGAAATGGCAAGATGTAACCATAAGTTGTATGCTAGAAGTTTCTTCTATCGTACTTCTTGCTCGTAGAACAAAAGCTTCTTGCTTTCCAGTCAACTTAGATCTTTAAAAGTTTAAATGCAATTTCAATCATTATAATCTGTCTTCTTAATTCTTGTTCTTTTATTATCCTCTCTCCTTAATAATACTTTTTGTCATATTCTCTAACACTCAGTATCCCATTGCATTCTAGTGCATTATTGTTTTGCTTGGGGTGAAATAATTGAAAAAAAGACTCCCACGAGGATGCTTCCCTGACCACTACAATCCTAACCTCTTCATGTCTTTGATTAACCATTATCTATTCTACACATCTTCATAATCTACAATTCTTATGCCCATAAATCAATCCCATTCAGTAACCCTCCACCTTAAGTGGCTCTTGGGCCTTGTATTGGGTGGACAATAGTGCAAAAGAAAAGTCTAATGAGCTCAGTTTACTATGGTATTTAATCCATAGTTGGGAGGAAAAGAGACAGATTCATGCCCTTCCCAAAAGCAAAGGTAAAAACAGGTAGCTTGGACTTTCAACTTGGCTTCCAGAGTTAACTTCCCATGTTAATATCCATTAACTGTACATCGACATATGTAAGTATACACAATCAAAATGTTATGAAAACCAAATAAATTTATTTGCCTACAGAAGCATGCAAACAATGATTAAAAAACAAAATTCAAACAATAACTGTTAGACCAATGAATGACAATGACAGAAACTTGCAGTGAGAGACGAGTCATAGGGGCCCCCCCCGAAGGCCAAACAGCTGAAGAGTAATGGCAATTTGAGATGACAGTCACTAGAAAAATAAAAACAATCTTAAAAAGATTTGGCCATCTTTATAAACAAAAAAAAGAAAGAAAGTAAGAGGAAGACAAGAACGAGGAAGAATGTAACTAAGAGAGGAAGAAAGAAAGAAAGAAAAATTAATGGTAAGAAAAAAAGCAAAGTATAACTGAGGATGAAGATAAGCAAAAGATAATGGAAAAAAGAGAGAGTGAAAGAGAATGAGTGAATGCTGAGTGATAGAGAAAAAAGTGAGATATAAGAAGAGAAAAGTAGAGAAAAACTATGAAAAGAGAGAATGAGAAAAAGAGGAGAATCTGAAATAAAAAAAATGAGAGCTAAAATGATGAATGAAGATAAAACTGAACAAAAGAAAGATAAAAAAAAAACTAAAGATGATAGAGGGTGAAGTAAAGAAAGAAAGAGAGATAAAACTAAATGTAAAATAAGTTATTGAGATAAAAATGTAGATAGATAGACTGACCTTATGAGATGATGGGACTTCTGTTAAATCTGCATTGGTGAAGGATGGACTAGGCTGTAAAGAGCTGCAGGTGGGAGATATTGATGACATGCCTCCAGATGTGTTATTGCGAGACAGTCCCAAATTTGGAGTGCTTTTTGTACCAGTTTTATCATCTGGAAGAGAATACAAATGACACTTAAACATCAATTGAAAAAAATAATAATATATACAAAATTATCATATTTCTGAGTGTGAATGTTATTCTAATATCAAAATACCCCTTAAATTTTTGCAAAAAGAATTATAATATAAAATTAAAATAATAAATAATGTAAAGGAAATAATATTAAAAAAAAATTAATAAATAATATAAGATAATAATCAAAAATAAAGAATATAAATAAAAATAAGATTATAAATAATATAAATAAAAAAATAAAAATAAATAAAATAATATAAATAAACATTGAAGATGATGACCATTCACAGCAACCAATCACTAGCAAAATGTCACAAAATTTGGAAAAATATTTGTGAACTCATCCATGAAGACAATCATCGTATTATTGATCAGTTCTCCCACATGATTGAAATCAGTTATAGAGTCTGCCAGAAGTTCTTCACTAAAACCTGAACCTTGATAGCCTGAAGTGTAGAAGAGGCACTAGAATTGTTGTATATGTTCCAATGAATATTATTTAGAAGATGTTGATCAAATTTAAGAAATACTTTTAGTGCAGTAAGGGTATGCTTTTTCAGGCCTAATCCAGGAACATTTCAATACCATCTCATTCAATTTATATATATAATATTTAATAACATTATATATATATATATATATATATATATATATATATATATATATATATATATATAATGTTATTAAAATATTTTTATTATAATAAATTACAATAAAAAATATTTTATTTTAATCTATTATAATAAAATATTTTAATAATATTTTGCCCTACGTTGTATCAAGCACTTTTAAAAAAGTAAATGCTAAGAACTGTTGGTTGTAACTCCATCTGTTTTTCTCTTTCTTTATATATATATATATATATATATATATATATATATATATATATATATATATATTACATAAGGAAAAATAATAAAAAATGTTCATAAATTTGACATATTTCACTGACTATACTGCAGCCTCATCAGAAAATTTTGGGAATAAGGCTGCAGCTAAATCAGCAAAGTATGTCAAATTTACAAACAAATATACAAAGGAATGAAATAATAAATGAATAAATCAAACCATATAATAATGATCAGTATGTATTTATTTATATATATATCCTGTCCCATCTGTAGTATATAGTTAAGTATATCAAGTTAAGTTAATAAATTTATGAGTAATTACTTCCATAGTCATTTTAATAATCTATACAAATAAAATATTTATTTGCATTTAAACAAAATTACTTCCCTATCAAAATGAACCATTTAATTAACCAATTTGTTCAAGCCTCTGATACCTTTGTTGATTAAGTGATCATTTTGCTTCAACTGGGTCTTGAAATTGGCTTTGCTGTCACTGCCTTTGTTGTTCTCTTGCTAATCTTTTTTTTTTTCCAAGAGATATTTCTATTTCACTTTTATATTAAACCCATAAAATTTTTAACAGAGAGACATATTGAGAAAAAAGAATTTTATATAATACTAAAAGTAATCAATGAATCATAAATAACATTGAATGTTTAATATTGAAGGAATGGATTATTTAAATGGTTTGTTGATCTCTATTTTAATTGTGAATTCTTTATCTCCACTTTATTGAATTTCAATACATTGTTTCGAGACTTTTGTTTCATTGTTAAACCTTTCTAATACTTGCCATCATTATTGACAGCATGGATAACACTACAATAAAAATAATCTTGTGTTCATGTTTATAAATGACCTGACCATATTTATGACACTTTTTGAAACATAAAGACAGTAATTTTTAAATGATTTTTTTCATCTGATATTATTATTTTCTTTTTACAGTAAGGTTCACTCTGTACAAGGCCTGGGGATCACTCAAGGCAGAGGTGTAATTATGTTATGGTGTAGTTTATATGAATAGGAGGGGAAGATAATGATTAACTCTAGATGAACACTTTAAGATTGTAGTGATCAGGGAAACATCCTTTTGAGAGTCTGTTCCCCAGGGAAATGGTTTGCAGGAAGAAGCTATTTGAGTGGAACTTACTTCTCGCTGATCGAATAAGAAGGGAATGAGGATAGTTTGCTACTATGTAAGTAGCATTGCGGGTCTGAGCCATGAAGGTTAGGCCTGGTAGAGCCAAGGAATGTAGTTTGTCCAAGCAAATTTCATGTTATTAGTGATAGAGGAGTGAGAGACTCACCACACCATGCCTGTGAGAGAGGTGGGTGTGTGGAAAATAATTCTTCTCCAACAAGTGCTCGGAGACACTTTTAAACTCCATCAAGACTGGAAAGTGAGGTCTGAGCAGTTCCTACCCTAATATGGCAATAGTACTCCATTTTTGGCCTGATCTGGTTCTTGTAAAGGTAGAGGATAGCATGAGGAGTCAGGTACTTACTGGTGAAGTACAGGGAGTAAATTTAAGGCTCAATATCCTCTCAAGGCATGGGGCCTCCTTAAGGGGAATTATTTCTTATTACTATAAATAAATAATGTTCGATTACAAAAATTAACTTAATAAACTTCTGTTTACATTTTGGATATGAGAATGGAGCTAGTATATATAGATTTGAAGAAGTCCCAATGAAAGATGTACATTCTTCAAGTATTTAATTAACCATTTCCTTACCATGGCAGTCTCCTGTCACCTAATCAGTAAGGGTGCACCTTGACTATAGAAATGGAATAGATGTTCAATTACATTTGGGAGGCATATTTTTTTTTAATAGGACCTCTTGATCTAGGCCAAAATGATATTAATTTCAAAGTTTAAGAGAATAAAAATAATAGCTGTCAACTCAAACACATGTGCAATGTCCATTCAGCACATTGCTTTCTAAAATATTCTGGCTTTTGGAAGGCATCTTTTGCTCTTTCAAAGTGCCTTTGGACCCATCAAAAATACTGTTTATAGTAATACACACTCTCTGCAACCATCCAACTAGAATACATGATATGAAAGAATAGCAAAGAATATACATACCGTTTTGGCTGAGGTTTTTTGGCTCAGAATATTTCTTTCCAATGTCAGCCAAGGAGCGGATGATGGGAAGATGGAGTTTACTTCCTCCTTCTTCAGTTTTGCGATGACGTTTTTCATGTTGATGTCTATGACGACTCAGCAGTGTTTCCCTCACTTTATCTCGATTTTCTTCAGCAAGTTGCTTATTCGCCACCATGTTGTCCAGTGCTAGATCTATAAGAACAAGAGCAAAAAAAAAAAAAAAAGTGATAAAAACCTGGTCAGTACTTAGGACCACTTGGGAACACTGGGTAATGTAAGCAACCTCCTACAATCTGAAATATGTTTTGGCTTTAAATAACTCATAACCCATTAATAAAATGTAAAGGACCAAATCAATTAATTATTTCCTTCAGTTCCCTGCACCACATGCACACATCTGGTATAATCCAAATTCCCTACACAGGTTGCTAACCAAAGCTACATAAACCAATCTGTTGTCGGGGTTTGTATGTACAGGGTGTGATGGAGAAATTGTCATCTAAATTACACAAAAATGAAAATAAAACTGACATCTTATTTTAACAGATATATTTACCAAAATTACACAAAAATATCTTATATATATATATATATATATATATATATATATATATATACTAAAGACTAAATTTATTCAAAAAATTGCCAATGGCTTCAACTACGGCCTCTAGATAACTTCGGAATCTCATGCAACTCTTCTGGACGTTCTTGTTTAAGTCAGTGAATGCTTCCATAATCCTAGCTTTCATCTTTGATATTACAAGGAGTTTTATTGGTCTTTTACTCAACTGCATCCCACACATCTGACAGCCATGACTGGGTTCTCCTGATTGTGATGCATGGTTCAGAATTCTGTTGCCAGACATAGGGTTTTCCAGCAGCCACTCTCTTGAACCAGAGCAGTACTACCTCCTCAAGGCACTTGATGTAAACCTCTGTATTGAGTCTGAGGCCCTCACCAACAAATTTGGGAGTTCATTTTTTTCCAAGCTGCTTTAATTTAATCCTCATTAGACTCATCCAAATCTTTCCAAATTTTCTGCACTGTCCTCAGATTGACACCCAAACACTCTATGTTTTGTATTGAAGCTTCTGATGTGAATGCCAAGCAGTACAGCATGCTGCTTTCAAATTTCTGGTAGAGTGAATTGTGTCATAGTGCTCTTTTACTCACAAATAGTTCCTAACTGACCCTATTATACATTGCAGCCAACAATATCAAAAACAAACAACGTGCATGCATGAAATTAAATATCTATAAAATGGCAACAATTTACCCATCACCCCCTGTATTTATTCAATGCTTAAGATTATATTCTGACTTTTTATATATAAAAATATCTGCTTCAGTGTTAAAAAAATGAATTTTTCTTCTATGTGCTTGTGTCCCTTTAGAATGTAAATGATCATGGCTCTCTGCAATTTCCTGAACTTTGTAGCTCTTAATAAATTTTGTCTTTTTGTTATCTCTCTTAAACCTTACTCTGCCATCCATTTACTCAAGGTAGGTTATGTAATGTTTTCCTCTCTCCCTCTTGCCTTCAATCTGAGCTGTGAGTATCAAATTTCCCAAACCCTCTTTCCTCATTAGGTTCCCTAGAAATGTCAACTATCTCTTCTTGATGTTAAATATAGGTGTCCATTTTTTCTCTAAAACTTCATGATTGCTCACATGTTCAGCATCCTTTTGTAGAACCACATTTCTGCTGCTACAAGTTTCTTCTTCTGTGAGAAGATTATCCAATATTCAGTCCCATGTAGGAGGACAGATAAATGACATTGATTGTACCTTATAGATAATTTTGCAGTATGTGTGTGGTGTATTTGTTGGATATAAAGCTAAAATTTCTATGTATATCCTCATATGGAAACATATGGTTAAACACACATCATTTATTTATTCATATTTACACAGGTAGTTTAGTGTATAAAGAAGTATTCTAAATGCTTATAAAATCTTGAATTTACCAATACCATAAAAGAGAAATCACATGTAGAGACATTCTTACCTGCAACCTGTTGCATGTTTGTAGTATCCATATCTAACATGCATGTTCCATTCATGATGGCACAACGCAATTCAAATATTGAATGAAGAGATAGGGTAGCCACATGAGGTTTTGACCATCGATCACCCCCTTCCTCCACATCTTCTTCAAATTTAATCCATCTGAACACAAAAAAGAAAAAAATAAATCATTTTAATATTGACAAAGTAAAATTAAAACTGGAAAGTCAATTTCTAAAATTGTTAAATGTTGTTGAATCCATATCCTCATGGCATCAGTCTAAACCAGTGTTTCTCAAATAGCATACCCCAGAACCCTAAGGCTCCACAAGAATTCACTACAGGTTCCATGATAAGCAGTGATAAATAAGCTAATGCATTTTTGAGTAAATTTTGTCCAATTTTATATTCCTACATTTACTATACACATACAAAATATTGTTGAAAAATCCTTGCTTATTATAATAAATTATAATGATATTGGTTATTTTATATTTATGTTTATTTTTTGTGTGAATGAAAACCTTGAGGTGAGGATCTGATAAATGAGTGATCTGAAGTTTTTGCATTGCCAATAAATTTGGCAAAACTGTGGGGTCATTTTTTTCCTTAAATCAGTTATACAAAAAATATATATTATGTTTGCCATGTGAACTATGAGGAAAATAGAAAAGTAATACATACTAATAATGGTATATGATAATTTTTAAGCATGGCTTCCTTGAGATATGAAAGTTATTTCAAGTGTGGCACAAGGGTGAAAAGGTCTATTTTAAGCTGTTTTAAAATAATGACTCTCATTTTGTTTTTTTCATATATCTAAACTATAATTTTGGAAGATGAAAGTTTCACTGAAATATGTTGGAAAACTTCCAAGTTTTCATATGAAATAAAAAAATATTCAACTTTAAACGAAAATGTTGACAATAAATGAGAAAAAATGTAACAGTTTAAACTGACACCAGACAGATATGAATTCAAGAAAACCTGAAAAAACTTGAACTAGTATCTCACATCTTTGTGAGCCTTATTTTTTATGTAAATAAATTGCTGTGAAAATGTTAATCACTCTTTATTAATAAATTTTTTATTTAGAAGATTGTAAAATATGCAAACCAAATATAATGCAATATTTATTATTTCCCATTTTATAAATAAACAACTATGAAAAGAAATTTTATAAAAATGTCTATTTAACAAGACACTTAAATATGTAATGAATTGTAATAATACATTTTGAAAAAATGCATTTTATAGGCATTGGAAATATACAATAATAGCTGTGTCAAAAGAAAAAAAAAAAACTTTTTTGAGACACTGTCTTTTAGTGGGGACATTTGTTAACTATGCCATTATTTCAATCATGAATCTTGTTATGATGGAATGTGAGCCTTCATTCTCATACATGTCCTGTCTGGTGCTTGTATCTGTGATTTTTAGAATTGTTTTCTGATTCCTCAACTGAATTCATTGCCTCCTACTAAAATTTGTAGCCATTCTCATCTTTCAAACAGTGCTTGTGCTCTACCAAATTCATTGCTTTAATCTCTGAGATTTATTCAATCAATATTTTCCCTGACAAAGATACTTTCTTCTATTTTAATAATTATGCAATCCTATGCATATTTTTTCTAAAAAGAAAAATTTAACAAAACTACTGAACAAACTACTCACTTGAGGAAGAAACTGCGTAGAGAAAAAAAAGAGAAAATTAGTTGAAATTAACATTTTTCTTTTTATGTGCTGTGTCCCTTCAGGACGTAGGCAATCATGGCTCTCTACTTCCTCCTATCTCTCAATAAGTTTCATCCCTCTGCTACCTCCTCAGATCTTGCTCCATCATCCACTTGCTCAAGCCTGCCAGGTATGTCATCCGTTGTTTTCCCTTGTCTCTCTTTTCCTCTATTTGACCTGTGAGTATCAGATTATCCAGGCCCTCCTTCCTCATTATGTGTCCCAGAAACTTCTGCTGCCTCTTCCTGATGTTAAGTATAAGATTCTCCTTGTTTGCAATCTCTCCAAGACCTCATCATTGCTCATACTCTCGGTCCATGATAACTTCAGCATCCTTCTGTACAACCACATCTCCGTCGCCTCGAGTCTCTCCTTTTCTTTTGAGGAGACCGTCCAATATTTACAGCCATAAAGGAGGACAGATGTCACATAACAGCTCAGTACTCTTGTCCCGAAATACTCTGACCAGCTTTTGGAATGCATTCTTAGCCATCCCAATACATATACGGATCTCAGTGTCAACCTTAAAACACTTGCCAAATATTTCCGCACATGCTTGATTTTTGCATCCCTGACCTGTAAATTCCATTTTGGGCTCATTCTTTTACTGATGACCATATTTTATTCTGTCTTCTTGTAGTTTATGGTTAGTCCCTTCTTCTTGCTCTCCTTCACTACCTTCTGTAGGAGATTTTGTAATTTCTTTTCCGTATCTGCTATCAGTACTGTGTCATCTGCATATATTATGGTGTTAAGATTGTGGCCACCAATCTGAATCCTGGTAGGATTTATACTTCTCTCAGAATTGCCTCACTGTATAGTTTGAATAGGTCCAGTGAGAAGACACATGCTTGCCTCACGCCCCTTTCTATATTTGTATATCTGCAAAGCTCATTTTTTACATTTATGCAGGCAGTTTGCTGCCAGTAGAGGTTCTTGATTATTCTAAAATCTTTCCCAAATATATCAAGGTTGCTGAACAGTTCCAACAGATTCTTGTGGTGTACTTTGTCGAGGGCCTTTGCATAGTTTATGAAACATAGGTACACATCTTTCTGCATTTGTATTGCTCTTTCTGATAACATCCTGAGCATGAATATCACATTCCATGTTACGGACTGTTCTAGTCCTATGTCTGGCCTGATTCTGCTGCATACTCTGTTCATCAGAATTCGGATGATGAGTTTTCTTATGTGGCTCATTAGGCTGACTGTTTGGTGGAGCTCACATTTGTTTTCACCTGGTTTCTTAGGCAGTGCTATGAAGATAGACATGTTGAGATCTTCCAGTATATCCTCACTGTTGTAGATTTCATTTATTATTTCCAAACTAACACACAGTGATTAAAAGACCTTATCTAAGAAAATTCACACAAGAACTGCCATACTGAATCCTTCATGGTATTACTTTAAGAAATGAGAGTGTTAATATCTAAATTGATTGATTCATTTTTTAATTGTCTTACTTGCATATCAAAACCTCTGAGGGTCATTTATTGCTGAAACTGGATTTTTATTCAGGAATATTTCCAAATGTTTTAAGTAGTTGTGAGGTTTTAAAAGTGTTTTCAAAACATCACAAGTTGTATAGTTCAAGATATTCCAAAATGTCTCAAGCTGCAGGGTTCAGGAGTATTTCAAAACTTATGTTATATCTTTCAAAATCCAAGCTCTATTTTCTATAAAAGTTGGAAGTATTTTCTTCAGATATCCTATTATTTGGGCAGAAGGTACTTTTTTTCAAAGAGCATGTTAAGATTTTGTGCTTGGTAATAGTTGCTACATATTTTTTTGTACTTCTTATATTCTATCAAGATATGCCTGACTGAGAGAAATTGGTTGCAGTGGGTACACTGAGGTGTAGTTTCTGCCTTGAGCATGTGAATATCTAAAATGTTTTGTGCCAAATTGGATTCTGTATAAAACCACCATATTTTAATGGTAATAGTAATATTAGCAGTTATAAGAAAACATTCAACATTCATTAATCAGTGCTACTCAAGTTATGCTTTCCTTCACTCCCTGGCCATCAGGCTGGAATCAAATTGTAGTACCTGCTCTCCTCACCTTTAACGGTAATAGTAATATAAGCCATTTCCTTATAGAGAAATATTTAGTATTTATTGACTGAACAACTAGTGCTACCACCAGCTGAAAATTATAAAATATTTCTCTTAAAACAGTTTTTACAGGAAAATAGGTTTCTCAAATCCATTTACAGTTAAGAATCTTTGTAGAGGAGGGCTTCCTTTTTAATTTTGTGTTTGAAGAAGTGTGAGATGGCAGCATTTTGATTATGTCATTGTTTTCTCTTTGAGTTATATATGCTATCCATTTTAGTTGTTGCTGCTTTTGAAAGACCTCAAGTGATGTGGTCGTAAAAAAGATAGACATACTGGATGAGATGTTGATATAAGAGAATACATTTAATGCAGAACACACCACTTACTTATACAAGCTACCCCCTACACATGAAGCCAATTCTGACAATCGACAGCATGATATTGACATTTGGTGTTAACTTATTGAATTGTCAAAACAGAAAAACCTGCCAATCAATTTTCTTTGAGTAACACAGCTAGAGTTACATCATTTGAATATTGTGTTAGTGATTTCAAGAATCTAATGTTACAAGGAATGTAAATTTTAATGCCTCCAAAAGCAAACTACTTTCATTTAATCACCATAGAGAACCTTTCCTGTTTTCCATCAGTATGGCTGATGCTAACCTCCAGTAGAGAAACTCTTTGAGCCTTCTTGGGCTCATATTTTCCACTGACATGAAATGGAGCAATAATATAATAATTGCTAGGTCTATTTCTAGGAAAGTTGTTTCACTGTGTCAATTTTTCTTGTCAGAATACATCTTGCACATTTATAAATAATCTCCACTTCATCCATGATTTGCATATTAATGCCATATTTGGTGCTCCTATCTATCTCATCACTGTAACAGGGCCCTCCTCTGTCTTTTCTACAACTATTATCATATCTGATGAGCTTTCCTCATTGTTGCCCCAACTGTGAGAATTTAAGCATACTACAAGATTGGCAACTAATTCTCACCATTTGACTGTTGAACTATTCAAATGTATGTTCTATTCTAATAGTTTCTTTTCTTGTACTTTTTGCCTCTGGAACTCTCTTCCAGTTTCTTGCTTCCTTACCAGCTACAATTTTCAAAAATGTAAATGAAACATCAATTGACTTGTCTTCCTGAAAGACGTTCTTTTGTTGTCCTTTTTAAAGTCTTCTCAGTGCATCATAGTGGCATTATCACCTTTCTAGGAGTGAAATGATTAAAAAAAAAAGAAAATAAATTAATCATTACTATAAACCAGTTCCCTAACTAGGCTTTTCTGATGAGGAGGCTGACTAGACAGCCAACATGATTAAAAACAAGACCTGTTAATGGGATAGACTGGGCTC